TTTTTCAAGAAATATCGATTTTTGACTGATTTACAGTCATTTGTCTATAACGCGACGCGCGCGCGGTAGCGCGCTCCGACAATCAATTGTTAATATCTCGAAAACTATTGGTCGTAGAAACAAAAGTAAAAAACCATTTTGTTCGTCGTTCAATTCTCTAAATAACTTATGCTATATGTCTCGATAGCTTCTCAATAGTTTACGAGATATTTCAATCAAAAGCTGCCTATCCAAGGGGTATTTTGTTAATAAACAATGATCTCATCTTGGCTTTAGGCCACATTTTATTTATATGCTCTCCCGAGTATTTAAAAAAAAAAATCATGAAAATCGGTCACTAACTTGGTAAAGTCGCCGACAAACTCGATTTTTCACGCCCACCGACTGGACTACTACTGTGCACAGCAGAACTGTCCACAAATAAAATAGTGCACGGGCGANAAGACTAGGTTTAAGTTCTAGACTATGTGATAAGATTGTGAAAAGATCATGAATGAGAAGATACTTCGAATTAGTGAAAAAGCATCAGAATCGGTCATATAATTTACCTAGAATAGTATATTTCGTCATTTGGCCGAAAAAACTTTTCTGGCGAATATGAGGTTTGCAGCACGAGCCGAAGGCGAGGGACCATGCCATGGGGGACCATGGTTGAGGGACTGTCTGCAATGTCTGTATGTTCGCAATCATATTCATCAGAAAAGTTTTTTTTGGCCGTATGACGAACAATATTTTTTGTCATGACGGCCGTAGGCAGAGATCCACGGATGCGGAGCGTCCGTGAAACGCTGCCTTACGGCCGGAATGACAAAAAAATAATTAAACACCCCGTCGCACGTGTATCCGAACTATATTTTTTGGTAGTGATGTTACGTTCAGCGAGTGCCGAACTGTGCTATTTGTCGTTTACTAGTAAACGAAAAGTCGAAACTTGTAAATGAAAAGACTTTTCCAAGACTCGGGCATGTAATGTACAGTCGTCAAATTAAGTTCTGGGAGTAACTAGACGTTTTCTGGTAAGGTTGGGTTGGATGGGAGAATGGGATCGAAATGAACGACCCAACCCAACCTCTAGCAACAAACGTCTAGTTACTCCCAGAACTTATTTTGACGAGTGTACTAGTTCGACACATGTGAGACGGGAATTTTAAGCTCGTGTCATTGGCAGCCTTCGGCTTCGCCTCGAGTCACCAATTTCACACTCGTGAAAATTCCGTCTCACTCGTATCGAAATATACTATTTTGACACTACTGCTACGTTTACCTCGTTTATGCCGAAAACTGCCTTTTCGTTTACTTGTAAATGAAAACGGCATAGTTCGGCCATTCGTGGTAACATCACTGTCAAATTGTATATTTCAAAAAACACTTTTCAGATGAGTATCGAACGATATTTTTCGATGAAAAATATTATTTGACACATATGCGAGACGGGAATTTTCAGCTCGTGTGATTAGCAACTTCACATTCGTGAATATTCATCTCACTCGCATCAAAATATACTGTTTTGAAATGTCTCCTAAGACCATTGCCCCAATAATTGCGAACGTGATTTACATGTTCATGTGCAGATTATTTCACAACCATCTCTGAAACAAAGGTTTTCATGAAAAGATATTTCCGCAGAATTGTATTCTGTACAAAAAAATCTCTCCTTACATTCCCTCCGGAACCCATAATCAACCCGTATGGTCATCACTCCATCAACACTCCGAAATTCTTTGCTCACATAAATTATTAAATATACAGCGGAAAATCAAGTACGGCTACAGATAAGTTATTTTATACATATAAATTTATATATCTAGTGATGCGTACGCCTGATAAAAACGCGGAGTTGGCATCAACTTGACGTTTTTTCACCGAGCTTATCCAGCAGTGGACATAAACTTTGCCGTACTTAAGGAAGCCAAGTGGGTCAAGTGCACAACTAAATTGATCATTTTTTTCAAAAACCTTGCATAATAAATTGTGTTAACTTGATTAATTCATCTCGCCAATTTATATTCAAATTGAGTTGGGATGTAAGACATGTAAATTTTCTTTTTCTTTTTTCGACCAAAAAATATTTGTTTTATTGACTAAATGGTGATATCCAGTGGGAATCGTGGCAACACCGCTACTGTCAGCTGATGGTAGAGGCGCGAGGGTTTGTTGATATTCGAATGTGTGTTTGAGTTTATACATGCCTGTGAACGAACCATGGCCTCAGACGAAAATAAAAATTTATTGCGTGACAAAAGGGGACAGTTTATCTCCGAAAAATGTAAAATTCGTGAAACCAGGTCCCGAGAGGGTGTAAAAAATTATCATAAGCAACAAAAATTACTGAAAGAAAGTGCAAAAAAATCAGAAGCAAGAAAACCGAAGAAAGAATCGAAGGAAGAACCTTTCATTTTCCACGGACGGCGTGTAGTAGAACTTGTTACGCTAGGTGATAATGAAAACACAGTCATTTTCTTAATCACCCATCTCTCACCCCCAGACTCCAATATTCCTTTATTCTCTCCACATGAGGCTGAAGGCGGGAGCTGGGTATAGTTTGTGAGGCGGACTGTACGGCCCCCACCGTAGCCGCTCGCTCAACGCTACATCGGTAGCCACGAGTTTAAACCTCCTCCCAGACAAATTAAATGATAAAAAACAATCAAACAATTTTTTTTTATTATTATTATTTCTTAATGTATGACGAGGGTAGGGAATGATTTCTCGAGGAGGAATTTCATGATATTTTTTTTATTTTTATAAGCTTTTACGCGGTCAATAGGGGTGCAATAAACGCATACAGCAATCGATGTCATTTTATTTTTAATGTGTCCCTAAGGGGTTAGGGGACCCTGTCCAACAAAAATTATCGCGGTGCACCTATTAGGGTATTTTTAATTAATTTTATAAGATTTATTTCTCCCAACTTCCGGTGAACAAAATGGTGATGCACGGACACGCATGCACCAACCGACTCCATTCTACTTGGAATATGTTACTGAGGGGTTGGGGGACCCTCTCCAACAAAAATTGTGACGGTGCACTAATTAGAGTATTTTTAATAAATTTTTCAAGATTCATTTTGTGTAACTTCCGGTGAATGCGGTGGGGGTGCACGGACACGCATGCACCAACCGACTCCATTCCACTTGGAATATGTGCCTAGGGGGTTGGGGGACCCTCCCCAATGAAAATTATCGCAGTGCGCCAATTAGGGGATTTTTAATTGATTTTTTAAGATTCATTTCTCCCAACTTCCGGTGAACAAAATGGTGGTGCACGGACACGCATGCACCAACCGACTCCATTCCGCTTGGAATATGTTACTGAGGGGTTGGGGGACCCGGTTGATGCATGCGTGTCCGTGCACCCCCGCCGCATTCACCGGAAGTTACACAAAATGAATCTTTAAAAATTAATTAAAAATCCTCTAATTAGCGCACCGCGATAATTTTTGTTGGGGAGGGTCCCCTAACCCCTTAGGGACACATTAAAAATAAAATGACATCGATTGGTGTATGCGTTTATTGCACCCCTATTGACTGCGTAAAAACATAAAAATAAAAAAAATATCATGAAATTCCTCCTCGAGAAATCATTCCCCACCCTCGTCATACATTAAGAAATAATAATAATAAAAAAAAATTGTTCGATTGTTTTTTATCATTTAATTTGTCTGGAAGGAGGTTTAAACTCGTGTCTACCGATGTAGCGTTGAGCGAGCGGCTACGGTGGGGGCCGTACAGTCCGCCTCACAAACTATACACATCTCCCGCTGAACTGCTCCCGCCAGCTTCAGCCTCATCTCTCCACTACTCATTAATATATTCAGATTCAATCTAATGAATTTTTTAAGATGGAAATGTCGAGAAACCCATTTTATTGGACATTTGGTTAGCCATAACAAGATCCATTGAAATGATTTCCCGAGATGAGTAGATCCTGAGATCAATGTTCTTTCGCACTATTCGTTTGAAATTCAATTATAAACACCATTCGAGTCTCATTGATTGATAATTACGTTTGAAATCCTAAAATTCACTTTGAAAAAACATCCATCGTGAGTGACAGGTAGGGTTATGTTGACGGGGGGCGTACAAGCGGAGTAGGACAGCTGTGTGCGCTGTTGTCGCGTATTATCCATTTTGCTATGAGCGATTTTTTTCCCCGGAAGTGAGTCGAAAAATTAAGATTTCGTTCTTATTTACCCCGGTTCCTCTGATTTCGCCCGGATCAATCGATTCAGCTTTTTTTTACATTTTTTCCATATTTTTCGGGATTTTTCATTAATCTCTAAATTGGCCAATCTTTTATTTTAGTGCATAACCTCATAAGAGGCAATGCTGGATCTTCAAATTTTGTTTATTTAAATTCTCAATAATTAATAACGGTGAAAGGTCAAGATTGTCATCTAAATTTTTTAAATATTTTTCGCTATTACAGGAAAAAAAATGAATTTCTGTTGATTTATTAAACATTTTCCCTTGGCAACCTTAAAGTCTCGGTATGAATAGCCCCATTGTGATATTCCCTCATAGAGTTGTCGTATCACGTCTGCGTCTTTACGCTCCGACACCCTGAGAGGTCACACGAGTGGTCTATCCCCTCTCGACCCGAGATTCTTACAAACAACAAATGGAAACAGAAGAAGAGAAAAATAAAGAGCATATGAGAGGAAAACAAAAGAGGAAAAGTGACAGATACGACAGGTGGGAGTGTGTGAAAAACGTTTGAAGACGCCATCTGGATGATATTCGAGGGTGAGAGACCATCTCAAAACCCCTGTGGAAGACGACACAGACCCACTGGAAAAACTCAACGTCGAAAACTCTCGTCAAATCCATAGAAAAACGTCCAAAAACAACTCAACAAGGTCATAGTCATACATGGTGCCTCACCTTTTGTTGAAGGGACGAACCCTAACGGCCACCTTCACCGAAGCCATGATTCTCGAAACAAAACAAAGAACAAATAACCAAATAAAAAACAATCACTAACACTAAACTCTAGTTTTATTCACGGATATTTGACACTTTTGTTATGCTTTAAGTGACACATCGTAACGCTGGATTGCCGTCTTTGGGGTTATTGTTGTACGATGGTAGTTTGCACAGTCGCACAACGCCATCGTTATCAGACGCAATTTACTCCCACTCACTGTTACGCTTAAGACACTGGCGCACCAACTGGCGACTGAATATTTAGAACCTGTGGGAGAGATATTCAGTTGATGGTGGGGCGCGATGAGAGAGTGGTGGGGAGATGATAAGGGGAAGTTTGAAACGGTACCGACGTGTAAGAGCACATCAGGTAATCCGTACGGAACATCGAAGGATAGTCCATTCAATGGTAATTTTTGAATAGTAGGTATACTGATAAGAATATAGTGCTGCCTAAAATATTCATTCATACAAAACATGCAAAATTTCCAACCAAGATTTCCCTGAATTAAACCAAATTCCGAAAATCACTCCATCTTCGTCCGTAAGCTTGGGGGGTTTTTTGCACACATTTTAGGTCGCGATGATTTTTTCATTGGATTCTATGTTTTTCGACCTGCTGAATCCGAATATAAAAATCCGCGGCTCGAATTTCTGTGAGTTTTTTTGTTATTAACAATTTTTTAATAAATAATTGAAAAATCGTATTTTCGGGTCGGGAAATTTTTTTTCTGTAAAATATACGCCATTTTAAGGGGGGTATGTATGAGCTATTTTTTAATTCGTATTCGCAACGGTTCTATCAATAAGAAATCATAAACAAATGATTTTTCTAGGTATTTTTGAAAATATTGACTTTTTTTTTCGTATTTCACGTTGTTGCATGAGTTATTTATATAATCCATCATGAATCATGGAGGAAAGGGCTCAATTTATAGTAAATTAGTCATTTTTCAATAATTTGTTTAATTTTAAAAAAATCAATTTTCGACGGAGAAAAAATTTTTTCTGCATGTTAGAAGCAATTTGAAAAAGGTAAGTCCTCATAGTCTTTTCCCTAAAGTTAACCAAAAATTGGGTGGTGCCAGATGGTATGACCGTTGTGGTCTTTTACCTACCCGTCCCAGTACCTACGCGGTACCCCAGCCTAATTCCCTACCCCCACTTGCCTCTAAGCTAACTTATATCTAACTCCACATACTTATAACTAACTCCACATGCACTGGGTTCGTTTTCGGGCGATGAAAAAATCTTTCATCACCGGGACTCGAACCCGCGCTACTGGGACGCTTTGGTTTATAGGGCCAGCACGCTGACGACGAGCCCAAAGACGTCCCTCTAAAGTCAACCATTTGTTCATAACAAAATTATGAAGAGATTAATTCCTCACAAATTCACCCAAGATTTACAGAAGAAGAAATCCTGCAGAATTTGCGCTGTGTAGGCATTTTATTCATACAAATTTGAACAAATCAATACTTTCAGTGCAGATTAACATTTTTATGGCTGTATTTGTTTCAATAACGAATGAAAATCTTCCATCGCGATAGTTTCAATCCCGTAATGAAGAGGTAAAACGGTTTGAGTGGAATTCTCGCTCAGTTTTCAAGGAATATCTTCGAATCTAAGGCAGCTGATGTGATTTTTGTGAAAACCTTTTTTGAAGGTCTCATCTAGCTCTACAAAAAAGCTCTTCAGAGAAATTTTACTATCTTTTTAAGATCCCGAGATATTTCTCGGACACTGACCTCCGGACGAAATCTACTGGAACTGCTTTTCCTCTGCGGTAATGAATTATGTGAACAAAATGTAATCAGTTCTTATCGCCATTCGGTTCAAAAATGCTCTAATAACAGATGTGCCTGTATAAAGGCTGGAATCGCGTGTATCAGTTTCTGTTCTTGTAAAACCAAAGGAACGTGTCATAATAAATATACGATGAAATAACTGCAGTGTGGAAAACTTTTATTGTCCTGGATCCTGAGAGTTTCAGGTGGTTTATTATTTTTCAATACTCGCACAGAACGAGTATTTAATCCCACATCTTCGATCCGCAAGATTTTCCCTTTTTTTAAATTTCGGGTGAATTTGTGAGGAATTAATTTCTTTATAATTTTTTTATGAACAAATGGTTGACTTTAGGGAAAATATTATAAGGACTTACCTTTTTCAAATTGCTTCTAACATGCAGAAAATTTTTTTTCTCCGTCGAAAATTGTTTTTTTTTTATTCAAACAAATTATTGAAAAATGACTAATTTACTATAAATTGAGTCCTTTCCTCCATGATTCATGATGTATCATATAAATAACTCATGCAACAACGTGAAATACGAAAAAAAATAATAATCAATACTTTCGAAAATACCTAGAAAAATCATTTGTTTATGATTTTTTATTAATGGAACCGTTGCGAATACGAAAAAATGACTCAGGACATACCCCCCTTAAAATGGCGTATATTTTACAGAAAAAAAAATTTTTATAGTTCTCTCTGCCCTCAGTCCTTCGATAAAACGTTAATAGAAAAATAGTATTTATACATACTTAAATTAATTTGAAACATCACATTTGAAGAAACCATCCGAAAGCACTGTTTCAGGGAAATTCAGGGCAATTCGAAATTTTCAATAACCATCTTGTAACTCCGACTTGATGCCATTAAAACAAACATTTTAAGCTATGACTGAATTCATTTGAAGCATGATATTCAAAGATATTCCCGGGATTTTGATTTTCAAAAAATATATAATTTTTGCAATTTTTCAAATAAATCAAAATAACGATTATTGGTCCGCGTGCCTAAAAGTCCAATTTCCGCCACATTGTGAAGAAAAATATTGTTCGTAACTCGTGAAAAAATGTTTTTTAGCTCGTGGGATTATATCACTCGCCAAAAAACACATTTTTGCACTTGTTACGAAATATACTATTTGGAGATAATCAAATTTATTTGTATCTGTTCCACGCATTGAATGGTTTTCAGATTGTTTTTTTTAATAAATGAAAAAATATTAATCCATGCAAAAAAGTGGCAACATCCTCGGTAGTTTTTTTTTCACCAGGAGCTGGTACCACTGGTTCCAGGGAGCTCCAATCACAACGCTTCATCGCTCTCGTTCAAGAGACGTTTAAGTTGACCGCGCTACCTCACCCGATCGGTACTTAGGACTGCTGCTCGTTTGGGCTACGTACGCAGAAATTTCATTTTTCAGTACTTTTTTCGCTATTATTAATAATCAATACTCCTAGGCGACAATCTTTTTCACTCAAAAAATCATTGATCACATGTTCTAAATGTGTCTAAAATTTCATGACTTTGGCTGCATTTTTTCCTTGGGTTTTGCAGTTTTTTTGGTGATTTCCGTAAGATCACGGGTTAAATGACCACTTTTTCAAAAATTCATAATAAATTAACCATGCTCCCCAGCAGTCTGAAACTTTGCACACGCCTTTTCCATCATTTAAAGAATACGTAAAAAAAAGAAAAAAATGGCTGCTTTTTTTCTAACCCTCCGGGCTCGCCCAATTATCCTTAATTATAAGGGGTGTCCGCAGCACTTTTGAGTAAAATATGACAATGTGCTTGCGAATTAAATATNGTAAGATCACGGGTTAGGTGACCACTTTTTCAAAAATTCATAATAAATTAACCATGCTCCCCAGCAGTCTGAAACTTTGCACACGCCTTTTCCATCATTTAAAGAATACGTAAAAAAAAGAAAAAAATGGCTGCTTTTTTTCTAACCCTCCGGGCTCGCCCAATTATCCTTAATTATAAGGGGTGTCCGCAGCACTTTTGAGTAAAATATGACAATGTGCTTGCGAATTAAATATATCATATAGTAATCAAAAATGTTAAAAAGGTATTTGTAAAAGCAGTTCTAACTACTTTTATGGTTCCGTTCGTGTTTAATTAGTTATTCAAATTGCGCCTTATACACAACCTTTATGGACGCTACTTTGTCCCATACCCCTCACACTGTTGACAATGTGCTAGCCAGCAAAGGAATAAGCTAAATTGTTCTATATTAAGCTCTAAACAATATGGGCACGAAGTTCCATTAGGTTTTATCGTTGATTTGTTCAATAAATTAATGATAAAAATACAATGGTGATGTCTGTCATTATCCAACATACGACATGTTTGATGTCCCGTCTCTCTCGAAACTAACCTCACTAACTTGACTATTTCACACTCCACTCACCCGCGCGCCCATCGCAAGTGCGGCGACCCCTTAAGGGGTACCGGAACCGACCACAAAAAGACGTTTACCAAAAACAAGTTTTCTTAGATTCTATGCAATGAGAATCAATGAAACTTTTTCCCCCTATTGAGAGGAGCAGAACGCATCGCTCTCTTCTCATGCTTTTCTTATTTATGCAAAAAAAATTGCAAATTATTTAACGGCAAGGACCAGGGCAAGGCCGACGCCATTTCATTTGTAGGAATCTGCCAAGTCATGGTAGAAAAACGGATTTTTTGTAGATTTTTCTTAGCCGATGGCTATTTTCATGAGAAGAGAGCGATCGAGTGAGTTCCAAGGCAGAGATTTTGAATACAAAAATGTACTTTTGTTGCGGAATTTTCGTAAAAACTTTTCGTAAAATCCAAAAAACCACGGGAACCTGCAATACCGATAGGGGGCACCCCTAAACTCTGCGTACGACGGGTTCCGTTACCCCTTCAGCACAACTTTGAGATATCTTATATTGGTGTAGATAATCATACATAATATTTAAACCGATAAATTATGACAGATTTCTACAAAATATGATAATAAATGACAGAAAAGAACATTTTACTTTACTGTTTTTCTTGATAATCAATCAGCTCTTGTCACATTTGGTAAAAAAAAAATATGATGACATATTATGGCAAAAAATGTCATGAAATGTCAAACGAAGAGAGAGCAATACCAGAACAAACGACATATTTTGAAAAATTACGGTAAATTCTGTGGAAATTCGCCAATTACTGATCAGGAATATCGAATTCGAATATATTATTACAAATTCTATGATACAATATGACATTCTGACAATTTTTATAAGAAAAAATTTGTCAAAATTTGACAGAATCTGTCAACCTGATTTCCACGAGGAAAGAACAACTAGATTTTTTATTCGAGAAGCTTTCATGGATGATTTAAAGAAATTGCAATTGATTTCTCGTTCTGGCTACCCGATACGCCAATGAGCGAAAATTATTTTGTCAGTAAAACAACAATGACGATGTGCTAGCCAGTCTGTAACTTCGAAAGAAATATTTTTCGTTTAACTTCACTTTATGAGAGATATTCTCATTCTGAAATGGCATGATCTCCATACAATTGATTAACCTCTTGACCCAAATATGTCTTATTGTGAAAGTAAATCCAAAATATCTACATGCTTATGTTGACTCCCAAATCTCGAGCGGAACATAAACAAATTAAGTATTACTAAAATTTTTCCCATCAGATCAATGTTTTTCATTGGTATACACTCGATCGCCTCCCTCTTCTATTCAATTTTTATTGAATTTTTCTCTCCGTGTTGAAGCACAATATACTATCACTAAATACAAGAATTACTTTTGGATTGTTTTTTCTCTCGGAGTGAAGTTCGTTAAATGAGTTTGTTTTAAAGTTTAGATCTTCTATCTTTAGAATGCTATATGAGGTATTCCACGTCAAACGATCAACCCTTGGCCCTTAACAGCTCGAAAATGAAAGGCGTTCTAATCAACCGATTCCAATTTTTCAAGCATGAAAATGTTTCGTTGTCTACCACCTTTGAGAACATGTAGGATGAATTCCTAATTCTATCCTTAGATGTGTATAAGAATCAATAAATAGTTTACATGTTTTCCCAACCCATTCGATGTGAGAATTCATTCACCAATTCCTCATTCCAATTGATCATCAACTAAAGGATATACCAGAATCTCCATTCGGACTTCCACTTTGTCATCTTCCTGGCAAACAGTTCCGTCAATGTAAAGTTGTCGCCATCTGTCGTAGTAATATTTTGATAGATATAACAAAGATCTAAAATAAAAAACAAGATAAATTGAAGAATATTTAATCATTCACTTTATACATAAACTCTCCACTGTTTCACCCATTTCATCAAAACATAACATTTGCGTAGTTTTTAGATCTAAATCAGTATAAATACGAATACGGAGAGAAATTCATGTGCGCGACATTGGTGATTGATTTCACCTCAGAAGACATTTCGACAGATGGGACATGTGGCTTTCTGGCTCGTGCTGAACCATTTGTACTGAAAGAAGAAATTACAACAAAGTTAATAGTATTTACTCAATCATCCAAAACGTAGGATCGAGATTCTACGATTTTGAGGACTAGACTTGAAAATTAAAAAATATCCAAAATTATTCCAACCGTTTCCAATCATCTTCAAAAAAACTCCTCAGCCATTAACGGTCATAACGGCAATTTAAATAGAAATCAATAAAGGAAGGAATCCGAAGAAGAATAAAACAATTTTTCCACTAATTGCCAACGTTTCGAACACACCAAGTGTTCTTCATCAGGGCATTCATTTATTCTGTAGATAAATAAAAATTATTTTCCCTATGAAATACTACTAAAAACCGATCGTTTTAACCGTTAATGACTGAGGAAGTTGGAGTTTTTTGAGGTTAAAAATATCCAATGCATTGCCGTCCCTTACCAAACAAGGTGCATGGAACTTCTTCCTGCAGGTATGGCATGACAGTTTCGGTATCTGATACGTGTTGATATGAAAGATACTGAAACAGATGTAGCACTCCTCGACTCCAGCAAACTTTTTATCCAGATTCCTCTTCCACATCATGAGTCCGTCCCAAATGGAGCCATTCTGGTGTGTCAGAAATATCGACAGCTGCATGTGACAATTTCTCCAGTTTGATGCACCTCCTGCATGCTGTCCAGGTTCTACTGTGACTAGCCCCAAGGGATGATTGACAGGAAGCACCATACTCAGCTCTAACTTGGTATCGTCCATCTCGTAGAGAGCAACCACGGCTCTAGCATTTGGCTGCACTTTGATCTGCAAATTTCCCACATCGTTCAATCGTTTGTTGAACAGCTCTTCTTGGCAGAGAATGGGACTGACGTAGAGAGTTGTGATTCTCTCGACTGTACTGCTGACTCTGCTCTCTGTCGTGCTCCACCATTGCCTCGCCAGGACTGGCAAATGCCTCAGACACTTAATATAAATCCAGCAGACAATTTCCTCGACCCTAATCTCGCTTGTGCTTCCGCCCACCTCTACCACAGGTTCACTCCTGAACATCTCTGTAATCTGTCCCACCATCCCCTTACTCTTGTTCTCCTGCAGCACCTCCACAGGCATCAGCCTAAAGACATTATTCATCAAACTTGGGAACAGCTCATCCTTGAGCACCTCAGCATACTGATACCTAAGATCTGCATGTGCAGCTTCACACATCTCCAGCAGCACCATCCACTCCAGTAGGTAAGCCAACGTATAAGTATATGAATCTGTGTGCGTCTGAATAACGCAGCTCACGGTATCACATAACCTAAACTCCATTAACATAGCATTGACAATTCTCTGATTCTCCAAGAGACTCTCCTCGAACTTCACGAGGTTCAATCCCTTAGACGCCAAGTTTTCCTCTTCAATCCTTAGCTTGTCCTCCCCGACCAGCTTCGGAATCAGAACTTTGAGGAGGTGGAAGCATGAGATTTGCAAAGATGTCACTGGGGACGACAACAGCTTGATGCAGAATCTGACCAACTGATCTGCGTTGATCCTCGAGGATTCATCCATAGAGATGATGTCTCCGTCTAAACCCCTCAAAGCCCTTCCTAAATGGTTCAGAACAATGATTGGGGTCAAATGATCGTCTTTCGAGTTTAAAAGATTCCCATAGAACATCCACATCTCCACAACAGTCTGATGCACATCCTCAGCGAATATTTCCCTCCACTCTTCCAATAAGTTCGCAGGTACCCCCAAGATCCTCTCGGCCTTGTGTCTCCTCAGTACTATCTGGAGTTGGTAGAAAAGATTGCTGACAGCTGCTACAAAGCATCGTACCTTGATATCCTCATGATTTTCCTTGGATTTTGCAAACGAAAGCAGCCAAGACGTCAGATAAACCATGGCAGAGTCCCATAAACTGGTGTCCAACTCTTGTGGGATTGTCTGGACGACCTGCGTGAAGAGCCTAATGAACTCCAAACGCAAATAGAAATCAGAGAGTGAAATTGAGGTGATACTGGAAGGTTTTTCTCCATCGTGCAAGAGGTATACTCGTTTTTTGTGAAGATATATCAAATGTTTGAGAACCTCCAGTGATCTAGATGGATATTTCTTCGTCTTGAGGAGATTCCTCGAGATGATGAGAGCGTTTAAGTGATGGCTGAGGGTTTTCTCAGTTTCGTCATTTTTTTCTGTTTTTTCTGGCGTATTTTTATCCAGATAATTCTCCAAGAACTCCGCTCCTCGTTCTTTCACCCTGACTAAATGCTCATCATTTCCGGTCAAATACTTCAAGAACTCACTAAAGATGCTTCCGAATTCGGTCCAGAAGGTATCGACATCTGCAGGCTCGAGAATCCTCGACCAAACCTTTTTAGGCATTTCATCCCTCAGCTCTCTGCACTGGTCCTCCAACTGCTTATGAATTTCAACAATTGAGTCATAACTCCTCGAGTATTTGTAATGACTCTGGTACAACTTCCCTAAACTCGTGATGAGAATGATAGAATTGAGAATATTTGGAAGTTTCTTGAAGCAATCGTCCAGTGCAGATTCATCAATTTCGTCATCATCAAGCTTTACAATCAAACTATTCATCAGTTTCGTGTTGAATAATGCCCATTTCAAACAAGACTCCGTCATATCCGGAGTTTTTTCATCTTCCGGAAGGGCTAGAGTCACTTCTTCATCCAATCTAATACTCCTGAGCGGATTCTGAAAATGGAAATCCCCAGAAATAAGCTCTCCCTGTAGAACCAAATCAGTAGCTCGAGGAATCCATTCATCAAACAGAGTCTTCTGTTCAAAATTAAACTCAATTAAAGCGTTCAGAGCTTCATGATACTCATAATTACTCGAAGATTCCATTAAATCAACGGAGACCTTGACGAGTTGCTCGATATTCGTGTACTCAGATCCATAAAGCCTGTCATAGATCATCGTCATGCAGTCTCTCTGGACGTCAAATAACTGTGGTATATTGTCCTGACCATTCAACTTATGCTGAATCCTCAAAAAACCGATCTTCCACTTCTGTTGGATCGACTCTTTAATCTCAATCGACAAATCCTCATAAAGACTCAGCTCGAAAAGAGTCTTGAGCAATCTCAAAGCTCCTGAAGACCATTTTCTATGGTCCCAAGTTAGCTCCAAAAGCTTGGCGATCAACTCGACAACAGTTTCGAATATTTTATAATCAGACGTGATCGGAACTGAGCAAAGAATTTCTGAAATTTCATTAATGGCTTCTACATTCACTGAAAATTCACCGTAAGTCGACTCGAAAGCTAACAAAAGTAGTCTCTCATCGATCTTCTCTGGAGTCTCCTGTCTAATGATCTCTTTGGAAATGTTTATCAAATGTTCAGTCACTCTGGAAGTCTTCAGCCACTGCTTAATCAAGTCATCTATTCTATTTCCTTCACAAAGAGCACAATTCACAGCCGAGTTCAACAAACTCTTCTCCTCAAGCTTGATCAAAGAATTGAGAACGATTTTCTTCTCTTCGTCAGTCATATATTTCAGTAGAGTAAAGATCAGTTGAACGACTGCGTCAGTATCTTGAGAATTGCTCTCAACCCGCGGCTTGAGGTTCTCATTATAAAAGTCTAGCAGATTTCCACCGTTTCGTTGGGCGCTCGCTAGAGAAAAGAAGAGATCTTTTGACTCAAAAATCGAGACTAGTCGATTCAAATGAATAATATCGTTGTTGGACTCGTTGATCCGGGTGTTCTTAATGTACGAAATGCAGAGTTTATTGACAAATTGCTCTAGTTCTTTCAGGAACATCTCATCATCTTCGGTTGCAGCATCAACTTCAGAGACTTCCATCTCTTTCTCTTCAATCCCTTCGTCACAATCGGTGAACCTTACATGCTTATTTTTTTTTATAGGAATCTCAGGGTTCTTAAGACTTGTCAAAAACTTGATCTCAGCAACATGGACACTATTGACCAGCGATTTATCGTGAGATTCAATGGCAGATTCGACAACTCGTTGGAACATTGACTCGACCTCTTTCCAGAAAGCCCTAATTAACTCTATATAGGACTTACACTCGCCATTGTTTCTGTTTTTACTCCAGTACCTGATCAAATCGGTGACTTCGGTGAAGACAATTGTCTTGATGGGGGAAAAGCCCTTGATGGAGGACTCAACAATGGGGATTAGCTGGTCCTTTAGGAGAGCCTCACAAAGTCCTCGGTCTTGGTTATTTAGCATTATCGTGTATTTTAGGCACTCAACAAAGGATTTCGTAATCGCCAGCATCTCGGATCTACTCATCAGGACAGTCTTAACGGCGAATCCTTGTTTCATATTCTCGAAGAAGTTGATGAATAGTTGGGATTTGTTCTCAATATTGAATTTCGGGAATTGAGAGAGGAAGGGGAGGAGACTGGGGTAGACGACAGACGCACATCCTTGTCCGCCGTTTCTTAATACTTTCCACAATTTTGGGAGGACTAGCTTCTCAACACTGACAGATGAGTGCCAGTCCTCGGTTTTGTCTATGGCCACGAGGGAGCATTCCCAGACCGCTGAAAGGATCCCTGGTTCTGTCTCGTCAAGGCTATTCATGATTGTTGTCATTGTTCGCTTTTTTTCTTCTTTTAGGAGGTTTGGGGCGTGGGAGATGAGAGAAGCTAGGACGTTGAAAAAGGCTGTTTTTATTAAAATAGTTTCGTGTTTTCCTAATTTCCAAAACTTCGAGGATGAAATTATCTGGTTGTGGAGGTTAACGGTTTTCGTTATTTGGGCAGAGGGGACTTGTTTGAAGTAATGGGAATAGCCTTGGAGACTGCAGATCAAGACTCTCTGGTGTTTGGTCTCCGTTTCCTCGGGTGTAAGAGTCTTCTGAGTGGCGAGGGAGTGTGGGGACTGGTGGGTGAGGTTGTCCCGGATGTAGGTGAGGATCTCGTCTTGACAGTGGACGATGGCGTCAGTTAATTTAGCTTCGGGGAAGGTTGAATGGAAGGAGTTGGTGGCGGCGGAGGCTGCGGGGGGGTAGGTATCGAATTGAGAGGTGTACCAGGAGCCGGCGAGCTGTTTCAGGTAGAGAGCTATGGTACGACCCACTCGAAGGACCAAGGCGGAGTGGGCTAGTTGAGAGGCCTCTCGGACACGGTGCTCGATGTCCACGGAAAGGGCGCAGTAGAGACGCGGCCAGAAAGGTAGGACACCTTCCACGGCAGGAAGGGGAGAATCTCTGCAGAGATCTGCAAATTCTTGAAGCGCCTAAGAGAAAAACGATACGTGCTTGATGGAATTATCAAGGACAACTTGGGAAACGATGAGTGTGAATGATGAGGTACGCTTAGCATACTGTCGCTCCTTTTCAGAGTATTTGACGTGTCTTTTCCACCTAGGGGATAAAACAAGCCTATTTTAGGGGTGATGCACTTGGACAAACACGCGCTTACATCCCTTTAACGGTGTTTCACACCCAAGAAATCGTACACCATCTATACACTCTGGTTATTTAATTCCCCAGATGAAATATGCTAAAAGATCCTTATGAAAATTTGTCCTAATTGTTCTTTGTGTTTCATCGAGAAAGGAGGGGGCGAGATGAGCAATTTGATAGGTTTGAAGAGAGTTCCTTGACGGTTATAATTGAAATATCTATCATCGAGATACAATACTGTGTCGTACAATTAGGCAATTAAGTAAGGATGGACAATTTGTTTTATTTTTCTGAAGGGGATTATTGTCGAAAATATACCTGAAACTATAAGGGAACATGACATAGGAGAGAGTCGGGCAAAATGAAACAGTTAAAAAAACCACTGTTTGACGCAATTCAGCAAAAACTAAATTTTAATAAATATTTTTTTTATTAACTTTTTTTTATTCTCGAGAGTACTGATAAGAATAATAATTTTCCATTCACTAGAATGGAAAATTATTGAGGAGTTTTGACGGGAGAAGATTTTGTTAATGGATTAATTGAACAGAAAATGAAACAGCAAAATCCAAGGTGCAGAGCAAGGCCCAGAGATAGACCCAGAGGGGGAAAAAGGAAAATGTGATGCTGAATTAAAATCGAAATAATCCATTGGCAAAATCTTCGCCCATCAAAACTTCTCAATAATTTTCCATTCTACTGAATGAAAAATTATTATTCTCAGCAGTACTCCCAAGAATTTAAAAAGGTGATAAAAAAACATATTAAAAAAAAAATTTTTTTTTGCTTGAATTGCGTCAAACAATCGTTTTTTTTTTACTTTACTTTTGCTTTTTCATAGCTCCGTCAAGCTGGACAGCCAGGGTGCTCCGATCGTCTCGGTCAATAGCTCCAAATTACATGCTTTTTACATGCTTTTTTTCTGCGCAAACCAAAAAAAAATCTGTACATTTTTTATGGGTGAAAAATCGATTTTACGAATTTGAGCATCAATCTAGGCGGCCAATTTATCAGAATAGGCTAAAAAACCACACTATAATATCGTGCGATTTATAAGCTAATTATCTGCGTTAAGAAAAATATAGAAAGTTTGATTTTTCCGGGGCAAACGATAGGGGCTGGGAAATGAGGAAAATCAAGGTCATCGGAACGGGATGCTTTAGGGCCCAGAATAATCAGCTGTTTACAAGCTTTTTTTCTGCGCCACCAAAAAAATTTGCTCCAAGATTTGGAACGAAAAGTCGATCCCTCGCATTTGGGCCAATACGTAAGAGGCGAATGCGTCAGAATGGGCTGGGAAAACCATCCCACAGTATCCTCCGATTTATAACCTAATTATCTGCGTTGAGAAAAATATTTAAAAGTCGATTTTTCCGGGAAAACCAATATGGCCTGGGAAATGAGGAAAATCAAGGTCGTTGGGCAGGATTTCTCTTGGGCCCAGAATAATAAGCTGTTTACAAGCTTTTTTTCTGCGCCACCAAACAAAATTTGCTCCAAGATGTGGAGCGAAAAGTCGATTCCTCGGAATTGGGCGAACATGTAAGTGGCCAATTTGTCATAATGGACTGGGAAAACCATCCCACAGTATCCTCCGATTTATAAGCTAATAATCTGCATTAAGAAAAATATTAAAAAGTCGATTTTTCCGGGAAAACCAATATGGCCTGGGAAATGGGGAGTATCAAGGTCATTGGACAGGACTTTTCTTGGGCCCAGAATAATAAGCTGTTTACAAGCTTTTTTTCTGCGCCACCAAAAAAAATTTGCTCCAAGATTTGGAGCGAAAAGTCGATCCCTCGCATTTGGGCCAACATGTTTTTTAAAATTAATTATTCAACTAATTAGGGGCCTAATTACTGTTTCTGCTATTTATTGGGATTTTGCAAACTTGAGGGAAAGTTTCTGAAGGTACTCCTCGAGTTTCAGAATTTATCCATTTATTTCACGAGATTTAGTCTTTAACATGTTTTTTTTAAATTAATTACTTAACTAATTAGTGTTCTAATTGCAGTTTTTGCTATTTATTGGGGTTTTGCAAACTTGAGGGAAGGTTTCTAAAGGTACTCCCCGAGTTTCAGAATTTTTACATTTTTTTCACGAGATTTATTCTTCAACATGTTTTTTTAATTAATAGAAAATAATTAATTATTATAGTTTTAGATTTTTTTTGCATTTGCAATCTTTAGAAAGAAGTCGCGGAATTTGCAAAGCCTTCGGATTAGCAAAAAATGTATGCAAAGCATCTTTATCTATGGCCTTGCTAGCTCAATAAAAATCTAGCAAGGCCCCAAAAAACAAAAAAAAAACAAAAAAAAATTTTTTTTTTATCAGATAAAATTCAGGAAAAACTCCCTAATTCTGTTACAATTGACCAAATTCGAGTTTTCCACTTTGGCTTTGCCAGCTTTTCATACCTGAATGGATTGAATGAGAACCCGTTTTGAAAAAATTTTGTTCATTCAATTCCAACAAAGCAACTGTAACTAATTCCTCCTAAATATTCAGAATGTTGGTTTCATATGATCCCACATTAGTGTCAAAATCACAGAGTATTCATAGACTAAAAATTTGGATGCTTGAGGAGTAGATAATCATTCTCCCGGTGTTTGCTCAAGTTCCGAGACTATGAGAAAAGAATGAAAAAGGAAAATCGAAACTATTTTAAAATTTTTCTCGACACAGATAATTAGCTTATAAATCGGAGGATATAGGGGGATGGTTTTCCCAGCCCATTCTGAAGAATTGGCCACTTACATGTTCGCCCAATTGCGAGGAATCGACTTTTCGCTCCACATCTTGGAGCAATTTTTTTTTGGTGGCGCAGAAAAAAAGCTTGTAAACAGCTTATTATTCTGGGCCCAAGAGAAGTCCTGTCCAATGACCTTGATACTCCCCATTTCCCAGACCATATTTGTTTTTTCCGGAAAAATCGATTTTTTAATATTTTTCTCAACGCAGATAATTAGCTTATAAATCGGAGGATATTGTCGGATGGTTTTCCCAGCCCATTCTGACGAATTCGCCTCTTACGTGTTGGCCCAAATGCGAGGGATCGACTTTCCGGTCCAAATCTTGGAGCGATTTTTTTTTGGTGGCGCAGAAAAAAAAGCTTGTAAACAGCTGATTATTCTGGGCCCTAAAGCATCCCGTTCCGATGACCTTGATTTTCCTCATTTCCCAGCCCATATCGTTTTTCCCGGAAAAATCAAACTTTCTATATTTTTCTCAACGCAGATAATTAGCTTATAAATCGGAGGATATTATAGTGTGGTTTTTTTAGCCTATTCTGATGAATTGGCCGCCTAGATTGATGCCCAAATTCGTAAAATCGATTTTTCACCCATAAAAAATGTTCAGATTTTTTTTTTGTTTGCGCAGAAAAAAAGCATGTAAAAATCATGTAATTTGGAGCTATTGACCGAGACGATCGGAGCACCCTGGCTGCCCAGTTTGACGGAGCTCTTTTTCATTTTGTCCCACTCTGCCCTACAAAATAGACCTTCCTACAACAAATGGTACAGTTCCCTGATCAAATGATACGATTTGAATTAATCATGTATTTGATATTGAAGGAAATTTTGGTCAATTTCCGACTCTCGATGAGACAGAGAAAAATATCGAGGGTCCGTTTTCTGTGGGAAATGTTGAGAACTACAAAAGAGGTTTCTTAACATGGCCTTCGAAGATCATTTAGTATCCTTGGAATAATTTGAACATCAGTGAATAGAGTGAATATTTTCAGATATTTCAGATATTCAATTATTATCGTGAATATCTCTAAAACTATAATTCCTTTTTGATGAATGTGAAGTTTTCAGGTCGAGCATTCGTGGAAAATGGAATTTATCACCGAGTGCTCTATACTATTTTACAATTCTATGCAATGACATAAAATATCGAGAGACATTTGGGAAAATGATATAATACAATTCTTTAAATTTCTTGAGCTGTTATCGATAACACAACATTGAGTTAGATCGATTTGAATTGGAATTCCAAAAAAAAGCTTTTTGAATCTTCATTATGTGTTTACTTCATAAATATTTGAATTATTTCGGGAAAAAGTAATTTTAAGACAAAAATATCACGTGCTACAAATAGATTTCCATTGCGTTGGAAAATTTGTGCACTTAAGGGGTACGGCGGTGAAATTTAAAAGTCTTCACTGGGTCTTGGAACCCATTGAACAGTTTGTAATATATGACGGAAAATGGGAATAACCATGGGAAAATCGCTGACCTGAACGATTTTGCCCCGTATAATCACGACAAAGTTCATTTTTTCTTGATTTTTACTTTCAAAATGCACATTGCGCCGTAGGTTTCATACGATTTTAGCTTTTTCTTTTTCAAAATATTCGTTACACTTCAAAAAATAAAGTTAAGCATCCGTTTTACTTCCTTCGCAATAGATCATAAATGAATGAATTTTGAATGTCATAAATTTTCTTTTAAACCCGCCTTTTTGCTTCAACCTGCCATTTTTTTTGTTCATAAAAATGAGAACACGCATGATTACAATATTCAATTACTAAAAACAATGAATTTTGAGTCCTACTCTAGAGAGGCGAAAAATTTATGAAATCCAAAATTCATTTATTCATGATCTATTGCAAATTAATTAAAATGGATGCTTAACTTTATTCTTTGGAGTATAACGAACATTTTGAAAAAGAAACTTAAAATCGTCTGAAAATTACGGCACAAGGAGCATTTTGAAGGTAAAAACAGGAAAAAATGACAAAATCGATCGGAGTCGCAATTTTCCCTAATTATTCCCATATTTCCACATATATCACAAACTGTTCAACGGATCTCAAGGCCCAGTGATGACTTCAATTTCACCGACGTATCCCCTTAAAAAAAGTTTCCTGAGCTTTTCCTCTGGTACTCATTACACTCATTACAAAACCATTTCATTATTTAACATGACTGAAAATCCAAATACCTTAAATTTAGTTGTTGGATCCTTCTTATTCATCTTTTTGAATACCATCTGGAAGTTGGGATCGATCGTGTTGATTTCCACTTCGTTGATGGCACTGATAGACAGTCCAGGGAGCACAGGTACGTACCCTCCATCCTTGACTGCAGAGAATCCCACGAAATTCGGTATCGTTGTCCCCAAGAGCTCGGCACTCCTGCTACTGTTTGAGGGCTACAAACCATCATCAATCATCTACATTCCTCCCATGAATCAACAACCATCAACCCTATTGTTTATCAATCTCAATTTCTAGGTTAACCACAGGCCAACTATCAAAACCAATGAATCAGAAGTTTACCTTGGCGTTATTCTTTGTTCGTTGAGCTTTATTTTTCCCCATAGTTAAGCATTCACGCATTCACAACCATTTGTACTTGAAGAATGACGCTATTTGTCCTTTATGCCTCGATGAGGTCAGTAAATTTGACAGCCACGTTCGATGATTATACCTATATACCGAGTAATGAAGTATGAAGCCGTAGAACGCAAAACAAAAAAATAGCTTGTCCCTACTTCATTAAAAACGAAATTATCTCCATAATCAGTGATTCTATGAAAAACTGGCAAGAGACCTTTTTTGTAGGAAATTTCACCCACTATAACAATAATCTTTAGAGTTTTCTTCTTAAAATCACTCTTTTCTGAGATAAATCCAAACCCACGAAAGTCGATTTCCACTCGTCAGCACTTCAGTGATTCAGAACGCGAGAGGTCATTGCTGTCGATTTTACCCCCATTTTGTACGAATAATTATTTTCTTCTTGAGAGAGATAGAGTGAGTGAGAGAGGAAAACCACTGAACCTTCAAAAGAAACATTATTTTTTCAAACCCCTCAGAGCATAAAAAAGCAAATTCTCATGTTTACAAGTATTTTTAAACCCGAGGTGAATTACAAAAAAAATTCAGTTTACTGAAGTTCATAATTATCACAAAGATAACGCGGCGTCCTGATGTTGAATTGCTGATAAAATCATAACAATAGCTCAAAAACTGGTAACCCTCCGATGAATTTGCGCGCCCATTTATTCGAAATAACCAATGGCAAGTCAGCGTCCAATGAATTTAACAGGGTGGCCATAGTCAAATCCAAGATGTCCGTGCGCTTGACGCGAGAACTTCCACCGCAATCCACTAAAAACACCTTGTTACTGATTTAAGTAATAATAATTATATTAATTGAAGTTTTATCGAACTATGGAGTTTTCTGTGGCAGATTCAACAGCATTGGAAACATCTATAGACATCGTCGAGGAGCCGACTGTGGAGGGGGAGCCCTTTACAGAGACCATTGAGATCAGCCACAACGTTAACATCACTGTCGACAATAATAAGGTATAAATCACCGTCGTCTTCCGGCCCTTGACACATCCTAAATGATTAATTAACTCGATTGTTGGAGAATTTCGATCGTTTTCTGGTCATCACTGAGTCAATTAGTGATTAGAATTTGGCAACTTCCCGCCTTTTTGACTGTCGAGTCCCAAAAATCAGGCACTTGCAAGCCCTATTCTCCCTATATTATGAATTTTTCGGCTGGAGTTTAGGAAGTAGACGAGTCGATGATTTTTGTCAGGATTATTTTTGATTTATAAGAAATTGAAGAGGTGTGGGAGATTTCGTCAAGGAAAGTGTCTTGTGGGGAATTTTGGAGATTACACAATTACTCTCCTAAGATCTTTCATGAATCTACTGAAATGAAATGTTCAGTTAATCATGGTTTCACCCCATCAATCACTGATTTTAATAGTTAAATTGTGAGATTTTTTTTCAACATCCTTTTTTTACACCTCCAGTTCAATGATGTTATTTAAACAATATCATCAATAATTAGAAATTTGTGTGCGGTTAATTTTGCAAATATTTTTTTTGCAGTCCTCGCAATTCCCCGCTAAGAAAAAAAACTGTTGTCGAGCCTTCAACTACCCAAGAACTAAATTTCATATTTTGTTTATTCTGCAAATACCTTCGTAAAACAGGCTTTTTTCACCTCTCGGAACTGCCTACAAAATTGGGGCTTTTGATATTTTCCTTCTAAACTTTTTATTTCCTGGATATTCAGAAAAATGATTTAAGTAGGGGAGAGTGGGGCAAAACGAAAACAAGTTAGTAAATATTTCTTTTATTAACTTTTCTTTATTCTTGGGAGTACTGATGAGAATAATAATTTTCCATTTAGTAGAATGGAAAATTATTGAGAAGGTTTGCTGGGCAAAGGTTTTGTCAGTGGATTATGCGATTGAATTTCAGCATCACATTTTCCTTTTTCTATACATAAATTTTTACAAAATTTTTGTTTTCATACGAAAGATGTTTAAACGCTCCAGAGAAAAACGTAGAGAAATGTCGCAGCTCCAAACGAAATGTAGGATCAAACCTATGGAAATCACATGGAAATAATTTGTATAGAAAATATCCGTATAGAAATATCCGAATATTATATACGAAAATCCTATAGAAATTCTATACGCAATCTGTATAGAAAATTTTTATACGATTTTTCCATACGTGTTGTTCTGAACATTGGATTTTACTATACACAAGTACAGTTACCACAAGTTCTACGATATCTATTCCGCAGCTCTCATTTCTTCTCCTTTGGTTCAAACTAAAGATAGGAAAAACAAGGGGATAATGCAAATTTTTGATTCCTCGAAATTGATAAATTGATGAAATCATCAATTTAGTTTCAACACATTATGAAGGAAGAATAATATTTTTTTCACAATATTATATTAACGTCCGATCTGAAAAAGGAGATACTTGACAAATGTGAGCTCTACAGGAGGAGCTGAAAGCGAGGATTATATCATATTCATTAAATATGACCATTGGTAGCGAGTGATTCACATTACTTTATGTTGCTGGGCCTGAGAACCGCGTTTGTACCGAGTGAATTGAGGTTAGAACTAAAATTTCATGAACCATGAAAAAAGACGCCATTTCATGGACAATTTAACAAGTTATTTGCTTTTTTCGAAAATTCAAAGGTGTTTATTCAGCCATCATTTGGAATTTTCAATTCTCTCCTTTTGTTTTCTCGCAGGATCCACTGGACTTCTTCATTGAGACCGACGACAAGTACCCAATTCGCCCCTGCTACATCCATGTCGAACGATGTGACAAGATTTGGGAAACCATGAAGCTTATTCGAGAGCTGCAGGAGCCCCACTCCAACGACTCCCTTGACCATTACTACGACGACGACGACAACGAAGACGACGATGACGACGCAGAAGAGGAAGACGAAGACGAAGCAGCAGACGAAGAAGAAGAAGAAGAAGAAGAAACGACTGACTCCCCCCTGAACGACGAGGAGTCAAACTCCTCCTCCTCTCAGGCGAATCCAATGATTCCCTACATAAAGTACCAACCAGTGTTGGGAAACGGCAACACAGCACTCCCCAACTTCCAGTTTTCCGTAAAAAGCACTCGTGCCCTGTATCAATGCAATACATGCGGTCGTCAATACAGTCACCGCTCCACCTTACGGGAACACTCAGAACGAATCCACAACATAATCCTCCCTATGATCCGTCGTCCCCCCAAATGGAAACCCGAGAGATCAGACTCTCTTTCAAAAACCGATGACAAGTCTCACGATAATGATGACGACGAGAGTAATCACGAGTCAGGGAGCACCATTTCTTCAACCCCGTCAGAAGACAAAGAACGTCTTCTAGACTCAGCCAGTGAAACCCAGGAAACTGAATACCTCAGCCCATCTGGCAAAATCCGGCACACAGGAACCTGCAAGCACTGCGGCAAGGTTCTCTCCGATAAATATTACTTAAAAGTCCACGAAACTCTAATCCATGGACTAGCCTCCCCCTTCCCTAATGGCGGAGGTCCCCTCGTCCTCAGGAACTATGTGGCAAAGGCGCCTGCCATGGTCACCTGTGATCACTGCAACGACTTCTTTTATGGATCGGAAAAATTAAACGAACACAAGCAAATCATCCACGGAATTATTTCAGAATCTTCCACTTCAACCTCTGCTGTTTCATCATCCTCTGACACCAGTAAAATTAACGGCAGGAAACAGGTGGCGATGAAGAAGCCAGCGACTTCTTCTGTGAACACTTTGTCATCCAAGCAGACAGAGCCGAGAAGTCCATCAAGTCAAAAATTGGAACCTTTGAAATTAAAGCCATCTATCGCATCGTCTCAACCCATTCGAAAAAACAAGAACGGAAAGATAATAAGAACATGTGAAGCCTGTGGAAAGCTCTACTCCAACAATACAAACTGGAAGATCCATCTGATAACAGTCCATGGGATAATCCCGCCCCAGAGAATAGCCGTCCGGAGAACCTATACAACCAATTCTTTAGGCATTCACAGCTGCAAGTACTGCAACAAAAAATTCTCGTACACGACAACCCTCCGGAACCATGTGATCCTACAACACATCAAAGAACAAATCTCAAGTCAAAAGCCATTAAAACCTCAGAAGCCATCACAGATTCAAAGAAAACCGCAACCCGTCGCCCCCTCATCCTCATCCTCATCCTCGAAACTTCGTAATGCTTCTCAACCCCACAAGCCCCCGCCGAAATTAACAAAAATCGTTCCCCAAGAGCAGGAAGACACGAAACCTCTAATTTACAGCTGTGAAAGTTGCTCGAATACCTACTGCTCTCGTCAAAGCCTTCTCTACCACATGGCCAACGTCCATCAGATTTACCAGACTCATACCAGAAAGGTCCGACCAAATGACTTTAACAAACCTTTCGCATGTCAGGTCTGTCACGAGAGGTTCTGGGGTAAAAAGAACCTCAACCAACACGAGCTGATCTTCCATGGTATTCGATCATGCTTGCAGGGAAGGCAAAGAGCCGTTCACAAAGCAAACAAACGAGCCAGCTTGTGTCCGAATAGATTCAAGGACGGAAAGATAGAGAGACCTCCACAGTTGACGCCAGTTCGTTCTCTACGAGACAAAGAGCGTCTGAACTACGATGAGGCCAAATTATTAAATGAGAAAGAGGTCTACAAGACCCCGAAAACACCAGCAGGCTCGAGAATAAAGAAAGAACCCACATCACAGAGTCCATCGGGCAATGAAGAACCGGTTGTTCAATGTATACTTTGCAACAGACACTGCAAGAAGATAAAGAAGCATTTCGTAGAATTCCACAAGGTGCGAAACCCTGAAATACTCATTTCGCAGTGTCAGATATCTCCGTTGAATCCATCACCTACCAAGAAGGAGAGCAAGGCTCCATTGACTATTAAGAAGGAGATCAAGGCTCCATTGCCTATTAAAAAGGAGATCAAGGCTCCATTGGCTATTAAGAAAGAGATCAAGGCTCCACTGCCGATCAAAAGGGAGATGAAGAAAAAAAATATTATCAAGGCTTCTCAGATCAAACAAGAGCCTGGTACTCTTCATTTGCCTATGAGACGAAAAAGAAGACCAGTGGATTCCATGAGACAGAAGAAGGCGATGCCTGTTCCGGGACCACAAGCTCCTTTTGAATTAGTATTGAAGGAGATAATGCAGAAGAACCGGAGGGTCTATGCGTGTAAGTTCTGTAGGTTTATAACTTATGGGTATGAAACCGCGAGGAAACACTGCAGACTGGAGCATTCAGGAGGTACAACTGCTGGAGTGCAACAGCCACAAGAAGATTCAGATAAAAAGATGGATATTAAGATAGCTCCTGTGATCCAGAGGCGAAGGTCTGAGGGACAGCTGATGGGCAAAAAGCGACGGAGGGAGTCTTTAGATGAAAAGGAGATTCAGAAGAGAAGGATTTCCTCGGTTTTCGGGGGAGAGCTGAGAATGACAAGAGCTGTGAAGAGACTAAAAGAGGAGCTAGAACACAAGTGTGAGAATTGTGAGAGGATGTTCAGAAATGCAGATATCCTGGCTGCTCACAAGGTTTCGTGCAAGACTAGAATGACGTTCGAGTCGGGAATGGAGTCCAATGATACTAGAGAAAGCAGTGACAGAGATTCTGGTATTGGGATTAGTATTACGATCAAGAAGAAGAATGATTCGTATGAGATCGTCAGCAGGGATAGCAGTGGAGAGAGACCTTCAAAAAGGTTTATAATGAGTTTTTTTATTTGATTTGCATGAGTTATGTCGACTTTTTAAAATAACAATATTTCCGGTTTTTCAAAGTTTTCATAAGATGTGGTGTATCCTCTTAAAAAAGAAAATCTATTTCCTCAAGCTTAGCTACGGACTATCGTTGCTCTTTCTTTAGTTTCAGGGGAGACTACTATGAGTTTTAAAAGTCGCGGGCCATTGGAATGAGATTTCTCATACATTGAAGATCGATTATAGATGTCTAAAAACGAATAATTAGTGCAAAAAAATTAATCGTCTATTGTTCGTTTGCCCCACAGACGCTCAAAATCTTCAAAATAGTCCAGAGCCTTCAATTTTTGACCTACAGAGGGTTGTTTCAAAATTTTCGAAAAAATGTGTACAATAACAATTATGAACTCGTTTTTTGAAATTCAACTCTTTTTGTTTAAGGCCCGGGTGTATTATCTTTCGAATGTTATTTGGATTTTTTTAATCTTTAGTAATCCAAAATTGTCAATTGAGTGGTACATCATGTAGAAATTCCCAAAAATTATGATAGAATGATAGAACAAAAATAGAAAAAATTCTGAACTCTTTCAAAGAGTGTTTTTAATTGAGATTCAGAATGAGTTGAAAAAAGTGGAAATTACAAATATATCAGATATCTGCTGATCAGTCATCTGCCATTATGTGATAAAAGTGTGATTAAAAAATTTTCCAAAATATTACAATTTTTTTCAAAGAGCCTTTTCCGTAATAAATGTCTGTGTGCAGTGTGGGAAAACATTTACGAAATCAGTCTTCCCCCTGCATGATATTGGGTGACAGGCCGCCATTTGTCACCGCAAATCCGATACATTTTTCAATTTCTTGTTATACAACTTATTTTGAATATAAACTAAGAATGCTCCTTGAAAAAATTAAGGATTTCTTCTACTTTTTTTGGATTATTCATTCATAATCTTTCAAAACTTCTGCAGGATGCAGGACTCAATTGACAATTTCAGATGACGAAAAAAAAAAACATCGAGATAACGTTCGAAAGATAGTACAACCGGGCCTTAATATAAAAATTTGCGCCATTCACGTAAAAAGGCAGAAAAATTATCCTTGAAATATTAACCCCTCACGTACGGGGCCCCCTCTGTTACCAAGCGTAGCGTGTGCTCAATACGACTCGATTTCGATTATTTCTAATGAATGGAAAATTATGAAACGGGTATCTAATTAAAGCTACAGTACTCCGGTTTCCAAGTTTGTCTGATCAAGTTATTCTTCATAGATTTGAAAATAATTAATTTTGAAAACATGCATTCACGTTCGTGTGGGTCGATGCCAGGCATTGACTCCGTACGTGAGGGGTTAAAAATATATCTAAATATATTCTCGATTCATTTAGAATTATTTTTCACGCTATTTTACATGAATGTTGCAATTTTTTATTTAAAAAATAACAAAATTGACTGTGTAGGAGTTGAATTTCAAAAAACTAATTCGTAATTGTTATTGCAAACATTTTTTGGAAAATTAAAAAAAAACTCAGTAGCTAAAAAATTGGAGGCCCTTGACTATTTGTAACTTTTTAAACGTCTGCGGGTCAAACGAACAATAAACAATCAATTTTTTTGCAGTAATTATTCGTTTTTAGACATATGTAATCCACCTTCAATATATAAGAAATCTCGTTCCAATAGCTCGCAGCTTTTAAAACTCCTATTAGACTACCCTTAATCCAAATCATTTTATATAATAATATATTAATAGTATATTTTTTAAAATCTAATAAATAGATTATGGTGAAGAAAAATACCTCAAGGTATCTTAATAAATTTTGGGAAAGAAATCACAGTATTTTTTAAATGTACAGAATAACGATCTTGAAAAAATTCCTTTCTAATATCACGTTCTGATGCTAATACTTCTCTCTTGTAAATTCAATATAAAATCATCCCACTCATAAATTTTGAAAAATCTTATAAGGTAAATACCTATAAAATGTACTTATGCGCGTCTTTGTCCTTACGCTCGTTCAGATCCTGCCAGCTGACATTGCAATCATTTTGATAGTCCCAAGAGTCCATTAAGAGTGAAGTACGATTGGAGTTATTATTTTAGTCAATAAGAAAAGTTATAGACACCAATGCAGAGTGATTTATTGAATAATAAGAGAGAAAAATTACATTCACATCAACTCGTGCTACGACAGAGTTAATTGTTAAGCCACAAGTTAAGAAACTCACAATTTTAAAACGTTGATATCTCCGTTGCAATAGTAAAATGGAATTAAAAATCCCTTGGGTAAGGTTTCGAATAGTTAAAAATTTAATAAAAATGCATAAATTATAGTAATATCCGAATATTTCACTGAAATATTGCCAATTAAAAGAATAGGTACAATGAAAATGGCATTGATCCTGCGCTCGTTTTGCACCCAACTGTCAACTGGTAACGGACTAAACGGATGAAAAAATCATTTAAAAGGTTGGACTGTCCAATGGAAATATAATTTTGTGCATCGAGATATTTTTGAATGTTGTTTTATCACAAAATAGAATACTCACGGTGTAATTAGTTCGGATATAACCTTTCCATATCACTCAAATCACGAGACGAGGATAGGGACATGTGTCAAACGAGCATGGGGACAAATGACCCTAGCGTAGGGACATGGGACTTTTCACATTCATGGACGATTATTTATCAAAAAATAGTAATTATCATAATTAATATAAATAAATTCCAATTCTGAAGGTTTTACCCTCTGATATGTAATTTAAATCATCGCATCGGCACGCTCATTTCGATAGAAATATTGGACTAATGATGAGTTCACCTTAGCTAGACGAGCGTAGGGTCATTTACCTTAATCTCGTAGTTTTATTCCATACCATTTCGAATAAAAAGTTGAGTCAATACAATAATGATATTACAGGTTCAACACAGGAGATGGTTCCTCCGATGCTTCTTCAGATACAAGAAACTCTCTAAACTTCGCTCACGAGCATCGAGTAGTTAAATTAGAGAAGATGGATGACGAAGATTTGGAGGTAGATCTCGACGCGGAAACTTTTGAGGAACAGGAGTTCGAGACTGTCGACGCTGTGGAGGACCCACCACCTGGGCAGATCCTTTCATTAACAGATCTCTGTAAACGAGCGCTTGGGCACACTCGCCAAGTCCCTAAGAGCTCAAAAATTCGCAGTAACAGGGGCCAGGGGTTCCAGTGCAGGGTTTGCAAGGGATATTGGCCGAGCCGCAGATCCAGGGGCACACACTGTTGGAAGGCTCATAAAGTATCAGCCACTGAGACTGATCCGGTCTACAAGGTCGAATCGTTGAGAAATCTTTGTGTCAATGTCCTGCAGAATCATGGGGATCTCGAGGCTGCTAAGAAAGTCTGGTATCCCTGTCATATCTGTAATACCGTCTGGCCCACTACTAAATCCAGGCGGAGCCATGTTAGTGCACATGAGTGGAGAAAGAGAGGTAGTTCGTAATTGTGTAGATTCATTAGTTAGGGAGGTGGAGGTGAAGTAGTGTTTATTTATTACTTTCGTTGGAGAGAATAGGATTATTGTAAGGTTACTCTGCTGTGTACGTTATTTCGTTAGAGGAGGATGTGATCATTTTTTGCAATTGACTTTTGTGGGTAGAGGGGAAAATTTCTATAGACATTTCTTGGGGAAATACAATTCTTTGCAAAAAGAGGTCTCTTAACTTTGTTTTGTTTTTCTCCTAGACCCAAGGGTTCTGGAGGCATTTGTAAAATTGTGAAAAAGTCACAGAAACTCCCCCACTCAAATCTCTACAACACCAAACAATAACATCCATCCATTAGACATGGTGATCAATATCATCCTTGTATAAATTTTAAATTCATTAACATACGTAATACAACAGCGGAAAGCGAAACCACACAACCTCGTTATATTATCTTTATTTCAATTCGACATTGTCACTAGAGTGATTCAAACAATTTTTTAACAAATCTACAGCTTGTCACGTATTGTTAACTAGTCGTAATGTCAACGATTAGACCAAAGCAGAGTGTTATCAACAAGTGCAGAAAAAATCCCCAATTAAAAGCAAAAGCATTAAAATAACTTAATTAATAAAAAATTAAGGAAGGGGAAAAAATTCGTGAATTGTATGTAAAAAATTCCCATTTAGTGTTTCCTCTGTTTCGTTCTGTTCTGTTACTTCGGTTTAAGAGCATTAATTAGTTATGAATGAAACAATATTAATTATGTACCGATTATGTTGTCTTAGTTGGACAAATTTCACTCGATGAAGCAACACGTTTTGAACCTATTGATATTTTTTCATGAATAAAAAAGTTTGAATGAAGTAAATAAGGATAACTTGTAACTAGGAGTTTATTTCGAAAGATGAGAAAAAATCATGAATAATGTGCATGTAATGGCATTTATTTTAAACGTACATAATTGAAGCATAATGTAAATAAATGAGAAAAAAATATCCGTACAATAAAACATGTGTTTCTATACTCTGAATACTTAACTACAACCATCACTTTGATTAATTCATTAGTTTTCATAAAATAATTGAAAAAATAATAGCTACGTTATTCTTTAAAAATCCTCATGAAGAAGATTAAAGATAAGGTAGTACGTCTTTTTTTTTTAAAGAATCTTAATGTTTTTATAATAATAATGAGGATAATGAAGTAACTTAAATCAAATTATCTCAGATGACTTTGAATTTGGAAAATAAAATAAAAAAGAAACAAAAACTTTTTATGAATGAAAAAAAAATACTAGAAATATCTTGGATACTTGTTTGGTCCCCTCGATGTTTTGTCTACCTCCGAGGTCGTAACTCCCCCTGGAATATTTGATGAAAAAACATTGGGATCAAATTTTGAATGGATTCAGCAAAAAATGAAGGAATTGCTCGAGTAGTAGTAGTTTTTGTTAATTATGGTTTTACCTCAAGGATGAGGAAATAACGAAATAAGGTAAGCATTTTTTACTGAAAATAACGGGAAAATATGAGCATTTCTTACTGAAAATTTACTCTAATAAGAAAATATCGCTTGATTTTTTCCCCTGAAACCCTTCATTAGTGAAACATTTCTTTTATTAACAAAAATTCACTAGAAAAGTATTAACAATCTTACCATGGTGGGAGCTAGGGAGATGCTTTAGAGACCGTGAGAAAAATTTCCCACATGAAATCGGGTTAATTATGCAATTAGCTTGTCAATAAGTGATTTGGATGAAAATCTTAGAAGACATAATATTGGTAGAATAGTTCTTCACTAGCTTCAGAACAGGTCTTTTAAAATTTTCTCCTAAAATTACTTATTAGCGTGATAATTCAAAAATTAATAAAAAGAAATTACTAGAAAATAGTCCATTATACAATTATCTCGCCAATGATGAATCTATTATTCAAGAGGAAATTTCAAAAGAATTGTCCTGTTGTAAATGTTCTCAGATAAAATAATTTTAATTGGGAAGGAATTCAGTTGAAAACTATTATATTGTCAATAAGTAACTTCAAAAGGTACAAAAGATCCAACAGATCGACGAAAAAAATTTGCTCTCACCTGCTTCTCCTAGAGGCTCTCACCAGTGATTTACCTCGTCCTCTTGTTAAGCCTGATAGGCAAAGCCTTTCCATTGACCTCAACAGATTCAGCAGCAAGAGCCAAATCTGTTGACAATACATTTTCAAAATTTACAAAAGCACAGGCAGAGTCTGGAGCTCGGTAGACACTGGCAACAGGTCCAAAGACCGAGAATGCACGTTTGAGGACAGACTCAGTGATGGCAGTGGTCAGCGATCCCACCCACACAGCTCTATTATTCACATTGGTCCCAGGGGGAGCCTTGAGGACGGTTTTCTTTGTCCCAGAGGCATTTATCACCCTCAACTCTTTAACTGCAGGTGGAGAATTTGTCTGAATTTGCTGGGATGATTGAACCCCTGAATGACCTCCAGGTATTACTTTACCCTCAGGACTAGATGGGGTATTTTTATTTTCATTATTCTCCCTATACCACAGGTTGTCCTTGGTGTAAGTATTGAAATTCGTCATCTCTATGAACAATCGAGTATTGCAGGGGTTTTCTTCAGTGTCTGACTCATATTCCTCATTCTCGGAGATGGAAACGGAATCCTCGGGAGAGCCTTGAAGGTACTGGTACCTTGCCAGTTCAGTGAGGAATGTGATAGCTTCACGGAGAGTTAAATAGGGGTTGTCGTAGAGGAGGTTGATTATGTCGGTCTCAGGGAAACCCATACTTTGTAATTGACTTATTTTCATGCGAAGAAATTCACAGCGCACTGTCATACTATTGGGGAAGAGGTTGAGGCAGTCCTTGAAGCACTCCTCAGCCTTTTCAAATTGCTGGGAAGGCGAAAATTTATTACAACACTATTACAATAAGGAAATTAAGTTTCACCTTTTTTAGATACCTCAAAAAGAAATAGTTCAAAGGATAAAAAAAATATATGAATTTTCAAAAAACATTCTGTGGGGAATTTGAGTCCTGCGCAAACTTTTGTAAACCTTTTTCGTTACTAGACAATTATCAATTTAAAAATCAATATGATTTTTTTGTTCGCTCTGAAGTATTAGTTTACCAGCGGTATTTGTGATAGTTGTTGAATTATTTTGGGAATTTTCCTCATCCAAATGTCAGCCAATAGAATTGCACTATTCGACTGTTATTTCATATAGTCAACACGGTATTCAGCTGATAATTTTTGATAATTCAACTGGTAATTTTTCATGTTGACTATAGTTGTGGAAAACAAAAGATTCCGTGGTCGAGTGAACCCCTGGTTGGAACTGTCATGGATTTTGTCTCATAGTGCAATTCTTTTGGCCGACATTTGGATGGGAAAATTCCCTCCTGAATACTACTCGAGCTTCAAAATTAATCGAGTAATTCCCTCAAGGTTCCCTGCACACAAACGAAGTCGTCAAGATTTTCAGGAAAAATCACTCGTGCTTCGCACTCGTGCTTCGCACTCGTGATTTTTTAACCTGAAAAACTTGACTTCTTCGTTTGTTTGCAACGAACCTATAGGGAATTGCTCGACAATTTTGAAGCTCTCGTGGTATTACTTGTGGTAATGCGGTGTTTCATGATACAATGCCAACGAAAATTTTTTCCTCATCGAAAAAGGCTTCTTCGTAAGTTTTGATGGACGTATTTCTTTCAGAAATCTTTCTGGGAAATATCCACGAATTTATCGAGTCTACAAAAAAATATAGGGGAGAGTGGGGCAAAATGAAACAGGGGTGCAAACGGAAACAGTGGGGGAAAATGAAACAATCAAAAAAACGCCTGTTTAACGCAATTCAAGCAGAAAAATTCTTTTTATTACATTTTTTTTGTCAATTTTTTTTATTCTGGGAGTACTGATGAGAGTAATAATTTTCCATTCAGTAAAATGGAAAATTATCATTCTCATCAGTACACCCAAGAATTAAAAAAGTTGATAAAAAAAATATTTAATAAATTTTTTTAGCTTGAATTGCGTAAAACAGTCGTTTTTTTACCGTTTCATTTTGCTCCTTTGTTTCATTTTGCCTTACTCTCCGCTATCATCTAATCTCTTTTATAAAAAAGTACACCTAGCTTTTTTTTCTAAACCCAATAAATTGGCAGATGTTTGCCAACCAATCTTTCAAATTGGTCGCTAATTTAATTTTCGATGGGTGTGATTTGATTATTTACCTCCATTCGTTTAAATATTTGGCCTTGTCTACATTTTAGCCTCGCTAAAATGGTAGTATCCTCATTATGATTCATTACGAAGTGTATATCTGTGAGAGCTCTGTAAAAAAATCATAATCAATTAATGAATTCCATAATTTTGGTAATTAAAAATAAATGTGAGTGACTGAAAATAAAGGTGGACTCACTCCTCGTAATCTCCAGTACACAATTGTGAATAACTCCTATTGAAATAATGTCTAACATCAAAATGATCCAACACAAGGGCTCTAGTTAAGAACTCAGTCCCTTTATCATTCCTCCCTTCTATAATGTACTTGTACGCTTCAAAACCAAAGCCCTCAGATGTTTTGTTTACCCCTGCTTTGGCAATTTTCCCCTGGAACATTCAATACAAAACATCATAAAATCCTATTCTAATCCTACAAAACATGAATTCATATAAAAATAAACTTAGGGAATAGGGAAATGGATAAATCGTTGATAATTTTGCATTCCTCGGTGATGACTGATTTTCGGAGAAATCGTCAAAACTTTATTTTTTATGGAAATTTTGTGAGATCCATCTCTTGATCTTTCGGTTTAAAGGCACTAGTTAAAAATCTGACGAGATTTGTTGAATTTAAGAGAAAATCGGAAAAAGTGCAAGTTTGAACTTATTTTGAGCCTAAGACAAAAAGGCAGAGAATCAGGAATGAAACAAGTCTATTTATTCTCTAAAATAAATTATACGCGAATATATTTACAAATCAACATCTCCTAATAAAATAAGGGTATTTCAATTTTGTTTTTAAAACAAGGATATCTCAAAATACGCGTTAAGACTAGGGTAGGGTAGGATCAAAATTCATGTGAAAATTTGTTGTTCACATCCATTTCTAAGTCTCATGGAGCTCGCAAATTATTTTATTTCTCTTCCAATGTGAGCTACTTCATGTTACTTGTACTTTTTGATGCATTCATAGCATTTATACAGCTATCAAGAGAAGGAAACCGTGAGATTTCAGACGATTTTTCACATGAATTTTGGGATACCCTTGTTTTAAAAAGAAAATTGAACTACCCTTGTTTTATTAGGAGATGTCGAAATGATTTAATTGTTGAGTTTCTAATACAACACAAATACACACACACTACGCGGTTGATGAATTGACTGGTGAAATAACTTCACTCGTGCAGGCGATTAACCCATCGTTAGGCACGCGTGAGATTTTGGCTCACGCAACGCCAGTCAACCTATAGGACGTCTCTGCAGTGCGAGTGAGGTGCTAAAAAGAGCGCGTCTACTGACGGGTTAAAGTAGCTCTACCCTTACGGTACATTCAAAGATTATTGAAAACTGCAAAAAAATTGCAGAAAACTCGATTAGATTCGGAATGCTAATTTTTTTCTCAATTTAATTATCGTTTTGGTTTTTCAAAAAAGAAATGTTTAAAAATCAGGATTTAACCCAGTGTCTTATGTGAAAATCAACATTTCCATTGTAATCAAAGATTAAAATCTGAATTTTTGTTCATTAGATGTGAAAAAATCAAGAATTTTTTTGACACCTCATAAAAAATAATGGACCGTTTTGCAAACAAGTTTTATTATTTATTTATAAGAGGGAAATGTGTGAAAAAATATCAATATTTTGCGAAATTTTATGTAGATAATACTGACTGAGTATGAATTTTTTCAAATTTTTTCCATGCATTTTAGTTGAAAAATTAAAAAATTGAAAATATTCAAGAGTACAGCGTAGCCCGGCCGCAGGGTAGAACTACTTTAAAGACTTGTGTTGTGTTGAGCCTTTTTTCGTTGAAAATCTTTCCCTCCGGAAAAAAAAAATTATGAAAGTCTTCTTCTAGTTGAGTAATTTTTAAAAATGGCGAGAAAAAAATGTTATCAACAGACACAGGCTTTATCTTCCAGAGGAAAGTGATGTAAAATAAAGCGTCTTTAATTGTCAATACCTCTAGTCGAGCTGCTGGACACCCTCGATTTTCAAACATGAACCGACCACTTGAAGTTCTAATGCGTAATTATTATTTTAAACAATGAAATATGATGACTAAACATCAAGTAAACAATTTTCAATTAATTTTAGGCACGGGAATTGTTTATGATTAACAATTGAATTGTTCAAATCGCCCTAGCACGCAAATTATGAGGAAGGGACGAAAATTTTCAAATCATGAATCATCTGGAATTTAATAAAGAATCGTTTTTGTCTATTTTCAATTTTCCGTATCTCTCGTAGATTCTGAGATATGAGCAAACACCTTACACGACCTGACATAGCGCTCTCTGTGAGCGCTGTTTGCTCACGCAACTCTTTCCTTGCTCATATTTCGAAATCTAAAAGAGATGTGAAATTGACAGAAGACAAAAATTATTTCTCATCAAATTCTCAATGATTCGTGATTGCAAAATTTGCGTATATCAGTCATAGTTTGGGCGCTAGGGCAATTTAAACAATTAAATTGTTGATAATAAATATTTGCAATGCCTAAAATTGATTGGAAATTATTTACTTGACGTTGCGTGATCATATTTCATTGTTGAAAAACAGCATTACACATTAGAACGCGAGTGGTCGGTCGGTCAAATTAGAAGCGCTTTTTTGTCATTCCGGCCGTAAGGCAGCGTTTCACTGGACTATAGAATTGCGGGACACCCCCAAAATAGTATATTTCGGCTGCAATCATATTCGTCAGAAAATTTTTTTTTGGCCGTATGACGAACAATATTTTTTGTCATGACGGCCGTAGGCAGAGATTCACGGACGCGGAGTGAAGCGGAGCCCAGTGACAAGTGACATGATTGGATGAAGGGGGCTTCATGTTGAAATCTGAAGAGATAATTTGAAAAGTCACTCTATTCTCGAGTTACTGACAATTGAAGCCAGTTACTTCATTCTTCCGTACACAAAGTTTTTCTAGCCGATTTCCCTCAAACACCACGAAAACGCTAGGTAAACCCTCCCGAAATACAGACACCCCTTAAAAACAGCAACCTACCTTCTTAACATTTCTAAAGCCATTCAAATAATCATTCTGGAGTTCCTCCTCTGTGAAACTCAATTTGATGGGTCTCGAATCATCCTCCTTATCCCGTCCAAGCTTCAGCCCAGTCTTTTCGATGATGGATTTTACAAAAGCTGATTCTACCTCCGAGGATACATCAAGATCATTACCACCACGACCATCCTCATTCTCCCCAGGTTCATTGTTGTCCTCGTTGGAGCTCCTGTCACTTGCTTGACACATCTCCCTTTGATGACGTCGGAACTCGACGGTTTCACATTTCAATTCGTTATCATTCCCTGACTCCGCCATCGACTTTGCCTTCTTCTTCATCATCTTCTTATCATGTTTAATTTCTCCCTTAGTCTTCTTCCTGACGGTGACCTTGGCCTTATCACTCTGATTAATAACATTCTGCTTATTCTTCATCACTTCGTTCGCCTTTGTTTTGTTTTTCGATGTCTTAGGACACATGTTTGGAGGCATTTAAATGCGTTTTAAATAATTCAAACTGTAAAACCGTTCATTCAAGCCTACAACAGACTTTAACGATCCTCACACAGGTTTGTTAAATCAATCCAAATCTTTCTATTATGTTCAATTCCTGATAACAGCAGATTGCAGATGATAAACTTGACAAATTCACCGGAAAATAATGAAAACAGACGAGTTTGGACGAGTTTACTGTCGAATGGGTAATTTCCCAAACAAATCTGGTCGGTCTGATTGGTTCTGACGATCGCCTTTCTCTTGACAACTTCGGTAGACCTCGACGACGGACATTTTTTTCCCCGATTGGGCGCCATCTCTGGGAAAATTTGTGAGTCCGTTTGTTCGATCTGTCCCACGTTCGGGGAAATTTTGTGGATTCGCGAGGTGATTTTCAGATTTCACGAAAAATGATAGATCTGAGGGGTGATAATGTCAACAGGGATGGTCCAGTGTCGAGAAAAGGCAATGATGATCTCAATATTCCAGGTGAGATGAGGTGTTAATTACTTTTCTCCCAAGTTGTCTTACAAATAGTATCGATTGTAACCTCTTGGAGGATTACAACATGTTATCGTGGGGGGGGTCAATTTGATTTTTTTAAAGAAAAAAAATCATGTTTATCAGGGGTTTTCCAATGGAATTTATGAAAAAGTAGTTCGGAAGTTTTTTTAAGGGGTCAGAACTTTCAGATGGATTTCTAACCTATTTTGCGGAGAAATTTAGGGGTATTTGGGGGTGGGGGGGGGGGNGGTTGAGAAAATGATGGGGAGAAATTTAAAAAATGAGTAGCCTTTTTTTAATTTTTTCAAAAAGGCTGCTTGGAACGGATGACTGGAATTTTTGAGCGTTAGATTTTAGGGAGGCGTTTAGGCAAAAATTTCACAAGATTGTTTTTATGGGGAATTCCAAAGACTCCAAGGAAGGTTTCTTGGGTTCTAGGAGAAATGTTCCCCGGAAAAATGTACCATATTGTAAGGTCATGAATATATTTACAAAAAACGAAGAGCATTAAATACATGTTACAATGAATCGCACAATACGAAATGCCAAATTCAAAAACAAGTCTGCGTGAAGAATGTAAATCAATATTAATGCAAAATAACAGAATATTGGCAACGCCCGATACTTAAGGATGTTCAGCCATTTTCAGCAAATTTTATTTTTTCCTGTGCAAGGAAAATTCTATAATTTTTTGGCTGATAGCAGAACATATGAAACTAACTTCTTTGATGTTAAAAAAAAATTAATCGCATTAGCTTCGCCAGAAATAAATAAACAATTTTTTTTTTATACACGGACTCTTATGGGATTTATGTTGAAATGTATAATTCACCTTCTAGAAGACTCTAAACATAGGAATAAAAATAGAAGGTAATGTGCAAAACTATACTGAATCGAATGGCCAAAGAAAAATTTAGGGTACCCGGGGAAAAAGAGGAAATATTTGAAAAATTCTATCCCATATAAGCGCATGCATTTGGTGCACTTTGGCGAGTCCATTTCTAAATAATAAACGTGGGTTGGTGGATTGAAATTTTTTTGTGATCACGTCCACCGCCGATTTTCCGGTGGTCAATTTTTAGAAAATTGAGTAATTAAGTGGCTAAAATAATTCCGAAAAGTCTGAAGTTTTGGCAGATTATAGGTCTTAATGAGGACTAATTCTGTGCAAAATTTCAGCCCGATCGATCTAATAGTGTTGGAGAAAAAACCATTCGTTTTTAAATCGTTCTCCGCAAATATGTTGAAAACTAGTGGACCGATTTCGATTTTTTGTTTTCAAAATATCCGTTTCGATGCTTTCTATCTAAATCAATCAAAATACATATACCTGTTCGCACAAAGTTTTCGAGATATCCCCGTTTTTCAGTTTTTTCATAAAAAACTTTGTAAACACTAGCTTGTGCAAAAATCGAGATATCAACTTAAAAGTTGGACAGAAAATATGTATACCCACTCATACGGAGTATTCGGAACATTGGAATTTTGATAGCATCCAGTTAGTGTTGTGAAGCTATAAACTTTTGCAACATTTCAGACCATTCGGAAGCCCGCCATTAATGTGTTGATGGCGAAAAAAAAATAAGACATGACTCAGTGACATGCTCACTGTCACATGGCGCGCTATCATGCTTGCTGTCCTCTACTTGTTTAAATAATTTCATACCTTCCAAAAAAAGTTTTTCAAGATTTTCGATAACCTCACTTGTTTCAAAGATATTTGGAAAATAATAATCTCTGTAAAATTCCGGAACTTGACTTGGACTATTTATCACGTAGTTCGAATTTTGTCTCCTTTATTGACTAACTCGTTATAATTCCAGTAACTTCACAACAAGGATTGACTCCCCTCAGTCCCTACCTGAACTTCGACCCGTCATATTTGCCCAGTAGTCAACCCGAGTTCATATTTCCTGAGGGAGCTGTCAAACAAAGAGGGAGATTCGAGCTTGCGTTCAGTCAAATTGGAGCTGCGTGTATACTTGGTGCTGGATTCGGGGGTGCAACTGGATTCTACAGGGGACTCAAGGCCACAACACTTGCCGGACAAACTGGAAAACTTAGGAGAACCCAGTAAGATCGTCAACATGATAGATCAACTTATAAATGGGTGGTTATAAATGGAGATGTGAGTGACAAGTATGACCGTCTTGACCGGTAATTACCGCGCCGAGGAAATTAAACCATATGGTCAGAAAAAGAAATGACGATTGGCCGTAAACATGAAATGACCGAATAAATTTTGACCGTCAATTTCCATTTACATAGATGACCCGCAATTTTTGAATACTAGGCCAGCGATTTCTAAACTTAAAAATTTGTAGCTGAAATTTCAAGGACACCAGGAATTTCGTCATTGAAAATTTTGAATTCCGTGGAAAAATCAAGGAGAACTGTAAATTTTAGTTAAATTATTTCCCGAACATTAATAGAAAACCGGAAAATTCCGATGAACATATACCTCAATTTTCAATTATTTAAAAATTCAGGATTTGACACATAATATTCATGTTTACATTGAAAATTCAAATAAAGTGAAGAATTCTCGTCTTTATGCTTTTCAAAATGTTGGTATTTTATTGAATTTTCAGTGAAATCTGAAATGTTATGATGTTTTTTCTCCTTAAATTGCATTGAGTGTCCTGAAAATGACTAGTCAACGATCCATGGAATTTCATTTTTTTTTCCAACAGTGTGTCAGCGAGAACAGGGGCCATTGGTGATAATTAATAAATAAAATAATAAATGATAGTAATTTAATTGTATTGAAAAGTTACGATCGAAGCCTTAAAAAATGACCGAAATAATAATGACGGTCAATTTGCAACTATATAGATGATTTTTGGTAATTTTGGCTCGTATCTGACGCAGCTTAAGGGTGTCATTTTGCATACAAAATTCGGTCAGGGTCAGCGATCAAAAACCGGTCCTTTACATCTGACCCGATCGAAAAGGAAAATGATGGTCATTCCACATCTCTAGTTATAAATAAAGAGTCAAGTTTACATATCTCGTATATTTTGTATCATTTCGTTAATACGTTATTGTTGTAGAACATGACAGAAGATATTTTTTGTTTCTTAAATTTCATCCTCTAGAAAAAAGGTCCTCTGATGTTTTCTCGTAGGAGGGGGAGGGGGATTGGCCCCCTTAAAAAAACAAACGTACTACAACAATTTTTGTCTTTTCAAAAGAGTACATTTAACCCCAGAAATCATCACCCTGAATAGTATGACTCGTTATCAAAATAGAAATAATTGGTTCTGTGCGGGTAAAGTAGACTCCCCACATTTTTCTTTTTTTTTCGTTTTTTGGGACATCCAATTAGGAGGGGAATTTTTTCGGTTTTTTAATTGCCGCTGTCCAAATAGAGGTTCAGACTGAGCCCTACGGTCACAACGATCAAATGGAAAAGTGGAGCGAAAAATATACAAGGATTTCATGGGAGGTTCAAACTAAATAGTGGAACAAAATGATCCGAAAAATTAATAGGAAAATGGTAGCAACAGTATAAAAAGGATCAAACTTCAGGAGGGAGCAAAAAGATCTCAAGAGTTAAACGGTAGTGTCAGGGTGTCCAGCCGTTAGGAAAATCTGGAAAACCGGGCATTGTCAGGGAATTGGATTGGTCTGAAAATGTCAGGGAGAAGTCAAGGAATTACGACAATTTTCTGGAAAATTTTATAATTTGAAGCTTGTTTTCTCCAAGTACTTAAATTTTTGGGAGTTCTTCTGTTGACAAAAAACATTGTCCTGGAATTTGATCTCAAATTTACTTAGAAAAGTGGGATGTTAACATCTTCACGTGGGATGAGACTGAGAACCCACTGTCTTTGCGGTTTTTCTATGGGAAATTCTAAATTCAGCATTCTACTTTTCAAAGAAATTCTCGCATATCAAGATGCTGGAAATATTTGAAAAATACTCATTTCCAACCATATACAAATTGCAAAAACACTGAGAGTTCCAACTTCGTCCGCTAGAGAGATGTTAGCATCCTAATTTTCTAGACCAATTTTTCGCTGTACGTATTTTTGTTGACAAGTTGACAGAGTGATCACCTCTCAAGGGGAGATCTCGCTAAAATTGAATAGTCTTTGAAAATTCCCTTAGCCATACTTCCTTTATTGCGCAATTTCCATCTGATGTAGATTTTTATATTCCGCAATTTTCATTAAACTCTAGAAAATAAAATTAAGTACCCATTTTACGTCATAAATTATGGATAATAGCCCATGAAAAAAAATATTTCTTTCAATGCACACTTTTTTATTGGTTGTTGCATAATGTCTAAAAAATCGAGTGGAACAGCCAGACTAAATCTAAAAGATTCATTTTTTCTCAATCCATTCTGTGCAATGGAAAATGAATAATCAATTTTATTTTTTGAAGTCTGACGAACATTGAAAAAAAAATCTGGACTGAATGAAAATGTTGATCTAAGGAAAATTTTTAAGGCGAAAATGGCAAGTGACGACGAAAATTCACTCGATGGCTCTTTTCGCCAAAGATAATTTTATTTTACGGATGTCTGCCTTTCAATTTCGTCCGGTAAAGGAGTTAATGTGCAAGGATCCATCTATTGTTCATTGATTATCAACGTCAGGTGATCCTCGTTTAGCAACTGCTTTAACCCTCTAAGGTGAATTTCACTATCCCCACTCTATGGCCTTCAAAACGGAATTCCGGTGTCCCCACTAAAACGTCCTATTGCGCTTTTCACCTTAGATTCTATAAATTTAACATTCTTTCATAAAAAACCATTTTCTATGGTCAGGGAATTTCATTAATTTGACCGGGAAAAGTCAGGGAATTTTGTTGAAACTTCCAGGTGGACACCCTGAGTGTGATTCAAAACAGTCGCAAGGGTCTAACCCTTGCAAAACACTTACACGGTTGACAAGTATCTTCTGGTGTCTATGAATAACTCCATACCCGGACTCCTTCCGGGTGTGGAATTCTATATCTGAAAAAGTGTGGGGGCAAAATAATTACTTTTAATTTGGGGAAAAAATCGTTTTAGGCGCCAAATTTTACAATGATTTAAAAATCACAAGGGTTGAATGATCATGAAGCAAGTAGAAACTTGAGAATCAATGAGAGTCAAACTTGACTATGGTCGTACACTTCGAAGGTCAAACGTCGCAAGGATCATATTCTCATGAATCATACCTCGCAAGTCTATTATGGCCCGGAAGTCTCAAACAATCATGAGGATCAAATAACAGAGGCAGGCAGGACAATCTCAAGGTTCAAAGGACCACAAGAGTCAACCAGGAGTAGAGACACAGGCAGGACAATTACAACGGTCGAACGATCGGAAATCGAGTGAAATAATCAGAAGGCTCTTCCTTTTGACCTTTGTGATAGTTCGACCTTCGCAATTGCTCCTTAAGATCGTTAGATCCTCTTGATTACTGAACCCCTCCCTTCAGTATGACCCTTGTGATTACTTATATTACTTCGTCCGTCTCTTCCGTTGGATCCGAAAAGCGACTGATCCTTGAGATCCACAATAATTGCTTCCTTCGTGGGCCTAGACCCTTGTGATTGTTTTGCTCAGTCTTGACCTTTATTAAGATCTTCCCCCCCCCCCTTTGGTCACATTTGAATTTTGTATCTGTTCCTTGTCGAAAAATTTTTAATTTCAACCATAATTGTAGGAGAGAGTGAGACAAAATAAAACTAGGATGAAATGAATCACCAGGCAAAACGTTTATTTTGTCTTTTTTGTTTACGATTGGGAGTCAAATCGTTTTCAGGATAAAGCGCCCCTCAAGGACGTTTGAAATTGAGAGTCAAATGTTTAACGAATTCTTCAAAACGTTTAGGATTAAGGGCCAAATGGTTTTAAGGGTCGCACAGATTGGAGCAAAGTGATCAGAAAGGCTCATTTGACCATTAACCCTATACATCCTCCAAGGGTTGTTTGCCCTCGACGTCAATTTGACCCTCAACTTGAAGCGTTCTTGAAGGTCGTTTAAGCCTTACGATCATTTGACTCTTACTCCCAAACCTCATTGAAGGTCGTTTGACTCTCTCAAGACAATTTGGTAAAACAATTATCAATAATCGTTCGCCTTTGTTTTTTTTTGCTTTGCAGTTTCATTCTGTTACTCGGTGTCGTTTTGTTTCTCTTCGAGAACGTGAAAAAAAGATAGGGGTCCATTTTACCCTCACCCTCTAAGAAAAAATAGGAGGTCCATTTTACTCTTACCGTCCATTTTACCACTCCCTCCCCTCCACCTAAAATCACAATTAACCAATGTTTAAAAATTCACTTGAAACCCATCATGTTTTGCTGCCCCTCTCCAGAAGTAGAAAAAAAACATTTTCACATTGTAAATTTCATTACTCCAGATTAATTAATCATGTGATGAAGAATGGTGCATCGGCGGCGAATACCTTGGGAGTAGTAACGGTTATGTACAGTGGATTTGGAGTTCTTCTCCAATGGGCAAGAGGCACTGACGATTCCATTAACACTCTCACCGCTGCATCTGCCACAGGAATGTTGTTCAAATCAACATGTAAGTATCTCAATAAATTTTCAATAATTACAGAGATCAGTCTGTGGGGGATAGTGCAATAGAATAATAATCAACTTCATCAAAACAATTCTTGAGTTCAAGTTGTCTATTTTATTGTCCATTTTTCACGAAAGCTTGCTTAGCAATGCTAGTCAATGATTTTACAGAAAAATTTGAAGAAACATCCTATGAAGTTGGGAAAATTCTGCACAAAAAAATTCTTTTTACATTTTTCTTCTTTAGGAGGTTTAGCCAGTGTCGGCAAATTGTTGGTAAATGTGTTTTTATTTTTCATGGTGAAGGAAAATTCTGTAATTTTTTCGGCTGACAGCAGAACATACTACAGAACATACTGCAGAAAACTAACTTTTCTAACGTTAAAAAAAATTAATCGCAATAGTCTCGGCAGAAATGAATAAACTAATTTTTCCTTATAAACGGGATTTTATGAAATTTATGTGTCAAATTGATAATTCTCTTACTAGAAGACTCTAAAAATCGAAATAAAAATAGAAGGTAATGAAAAAAATCTGGGGTACCCGGAAATATTTGAATGATTCTATCCCATATAAGCGCATGTTAGCGCATGCATTTGGTGTATTTTGTCTATTTCATTTCTAAATAATGAAAATCTATTGGTGGATTGAAATTTGTATCAACGTGAAGGGAATATCTTCATCTCTCAATTTGAAAAAAATCAATTTTCTTAAAAGTACTTGTGATTTTAGATAAACATCCTTAAAAGTAAGGTTTCTTTTGAAGTAATCTCCTTAAAATGTTCAAACAAGTTTATAAATCCTAGCATTCCTTTTTGAAACTTGAAACCTATTGCACAGTTCTGCATCGGGAGAACTAAACATTGATTCTACAAAAAAAATGTTGAGAAACGTTTGTCATAGGTAAGAAATTTCTCAACTTCGTTCCGGTGATATTTGCCTTAATGATCTCCTGGAAATCCTGAGAACAGTTTTTTCAATGTCAGATCCTGAATCTGAAATCAATACTCTTAGTACAATTCTGCAGTTATCTAAAAAAAAACTTAATTTTATGAAAACAACGTAAAAAATGTTTTTTGGACCTCATCAAAAATTTTCACAAAAAGTGTCTCTCGATTTTTTTCTCGTAATGATCTAGTTATTTTACTGAGGAGTGTAGACAAAACTTATTTTGCAGATGACGAAATATCCTGTCAAAATATTTTCTGGCATTCTCCTCTAAACACATTTGATCCTGCCATAATCACGATCATGGACTTTTTGAAAGCCTCAAAACCGTGTTTAAATGCGAAGTTTTGATTTCAAAAACTGAAATTCATTTCGAAAAATCGTAAATTCACGAATAATGATCTTTAATAATTGCCAAACATGTTTTTACAGCTGGAATTCGAAAATGTGCGATTGGCGGTGGTGTTGGACTAGGTCTAGCTGCGCTATATTGCCTGTGGAACAGTCGAGAAGCGCTATCGGACCTGAGGCATCACAGCATGAACCCAGCGTAAGATGTGTGTAGACTTTTTACCCCCGATTGAACGTCTAAAAAATCCACCCTGCAATAACTAATTATCTCTTTCAGATGATAACATACGTTAATTGAGACATTGACACAACGAGGGGGTTTTTATGATAAATTGAACAGCGTTTAACTTTGCCATTGTCCCTAGTCTTAGACAAACTACCTTAAAGATATTTAAGCTAGTATTAATTATCATGATTAATTGAATTCTCGAGTTTTCGTTCGAGTCGAGTAATTCAGAGGGCAATTTGAGGGGAGACGTGGTGATGTTCAATCCATAACATGTAATTAATTCATGTAATAAATCATTTTGAAGACAGTTTGTCGATTTCTAATGTCTCAATATTTTTGTAACTAACTTATATAAATTTTTTACTCATTTTTTCCTTAAAATTCATAATTCTCATCTAATAGCCGAGTGTAATGAATTATATTATCAATTTTATTTAATTAAAAATTAATTATATATAAATTAATAAATAAGGGTAAAAACACGCAGTTCAGAAAATGTTATGAACAAGTATTCATCCCTGGAATTATGGGGTTTAAGCAGTTAATCATAGTCTGCTTACTGCCGCGGCGATTCGCCGTCATGTTGTTTAGGCTTCAGAGTTGCCAAATTCACTCTACACTACCTGGGTATGTTTAGCGAGTTTCCGACAACGTCATGTAATTCGAGAATTATGTTATAAAACTACTACTATTTTTAAGAAACTTCAGGCCCGAGTGGATTATCTTTCGAACGTGATCTTGGTTGTTTTCTTTATTTTGATAATCTGAAGTGATCTCGAATTGCTATTCAGCTTTACATAGCCCTGGAGTCTCCAAAAATTATGATTGTACAATAAAAAAAAAGTTGAAAAAAGCTGAACATTTTCAAAGAGCATTTTTGAATAATATTGGGAAATAAACCCAATAGGGCGAAAATTGCAAATTAATAATTTCCTCTCTATCGGACTTATTTCTTAATTTTTATTAAAAACGCTTTTTGAAAATGTTCAGTTTTTTTTCTACTTTTTTATTGTACAATCATAATTTTTAGGGACTCCTGCGTGATGCAAAATCCAATGGAAATTGTGATATGTTTTACATTATGAAGATGGAAAAACAATCAAGATAACGTTCGAAAGATAATCCACCCGTGCTTTCAGTTGAAAAAATACCTTGCTTCCAATTTTCCCGGTTAGTCAGTCAATGGCAATTACAAAAAAAAAACGAGCTGTAGCGTTCCCTCATTAGATGACCAATCTAATGTAATCTCTCGTTGCACACGTGATCTTGGAAGCATTTTTTTCTAAGTCATTTTAGTGACTGAATAGTTGAAGGATCGTAAAATACACGGAGAAAAAACTATATTTTTATCAAATATTCATTTATTTGAGAGAAGCATTTATTTCTTCAAAATCGTATTTCTCCAATCGAGTCACTTCCAGGCGAGTCTGGTTAGATTTCAATTATGACAATCATGTTACTCTAGAGGACGACTATGTTGCACATGACATTCGATGAACTTTTCCATTGATTATTCATTTTTCCTAAACTTCTTATTTTCTACAGGAAAAAATTTCGATTAATTTCTTAATGTTTATAATTATTGAGGGACTTAACTCAAGGTTATAACTAACATGATCATCTTCTAGAGCAATATAGGTGTCATAATTGAAACCTAATGAGAATTGACTGGAGAAATACGGTATTGAAAAAATAAATATTTCTCTCAAGTACATGAATATTTGGCAAAAATATATTTTTTTCTCCGTGTAATACTTCTTTATAATTTTTTTTTCAATCAACAAGAACGCGGTAAAGGTAGGTTTCAAAAAAGACTTAGGAAATGTTATACACCTCATGTGAATGACCAAGGGTTAATTAGCATACGGTCTTCGTAAAATTATTAAAACAACCCTGTATTTCATTCTTTTTATTGCGCCCTAGCGACGCTGGCGTACGCAGCTTGTTTACAAAAAACTAGACATTTTATAGTTAAAAAGTTGTATCGACATATTCGAAACTGATTCTTTCGTAAATATCCTTGAAACTAGTGGGTTTATCGAAAAATGTCCGAAAATCTTTTTTGCAGAGCATTGAATTCAATAGAACAATATCTTTTGAATGTCAAAAGATATTTTTCTAATGAATTTTTTAAATCAATTCGCTAGTTCCAGACATATTCACAACATAATGCAAGCGATACCAGAAATAGATATTTTCAAAATCAAAATCTTTAACTCCCTCTTTAAAAATTTCTATTTCAGATCCAAGTGACAACCTCACCTTTTCACCACCTCCGGACTAGCAACAAATTCTCCACCTCTGTAAATAGTAAATTACACGAAAATGACAATTACGGAATCAACTAATGCTACACTGCTGTACGGTGTAATTAATGTATTATCAAGAAGAAAATCTGAACAAAGGAATAAATTGTAAATTGTAGTCATACCAAATCCCGAACATAATTGATCCTCCTCTGTCAGATTAAATAAATTTTATTTATCTACGTCGTCTATGACACATGAACGAATGAGGAACGTAATCTTATCTTATTCTATCTCATACGAACGTGTCCCTGATAGTGATGGGGGTACAACAGTCCCTATTCAAACTGGAGCAGAAATTGGAACGAATTTTCAACGTTTGTAGTTTTTAAAATTGAAAAAAAAAGAAAACAAAACTACGCCACGATCTTAAATTCTTCTCTCAAATTCAACTAATTCAATTGTGCAATAAGAATTCGATTAAAGAGGTAAAGACAGTAGTAAGCGCAGCAGATGTTCAAGTGATTAAGAACTTCAGAAAATGGTTTCCGTTGTCTCGAGCATTAGTGAATGTGAATAGCTCAAGATCTAAGATATATATTGAAATTTTTATAACAATTCCCATAGTTCTAACTTCTTTGCGAAAAACATTCCACGTAATTCCAGATTCAAAGATATTAAAAAAATTTTAAGTGAAATTGAAGTGATTCATTTAGTTTTATCAAAGGAATAATCTATAATTAGAATGAGAAGATTATAACTCGTAGAGGAATGCTCGATGAAGATATTCGATATAATAGACAATTTTCTAAACTTTGTGCTGAGAGCTCAAAGGAGCACCGCCTCGCTTGAACAAATATTTGAACTCTCGCCTTGGGAATTTTATATTTCTCGTGGCCTCTCGTGAATTTTTTCATGTGATTCACTATTTGTAGTAGAATGAATAGATAAAGAGTGATTTTTCCGTAAGATGTGAGAAGATTTTTTTTGTAAGTAAGGAAATTCCTATTGAAAATTTTCGCCAATATTTTCCTTTTAACCACTTATTATTGATATAATTCTAGTGGTTCAATTACAATTATTCATGGAATTATTTCGCACACCAGTGATTTAATGCCAAAATGTCAAGGCCCTTGACTCGTGAGAGTTCTGACTCTAGACACCTATCTCTCGAAATTTATAATAAATATTTGTTTTTACATTTTCTCCTAAAATCCCTCCTTATGTAGTGATTTCTAGAATTATGAACATTTCAAGAATTTTACGTAATTAATTGTACAGTTATCTTAAAAACGATTAATTTTTGGAAAACAAAGTCAAACTAATTTTTTCTAGCTTCTGAAATTTTTCACTGTATACCTTTCGACATATTCCTTCAAACTTCCTCATTTTTCAGATATCAATTCAAATGAATCACGAGAAAAATCGGAAAAATAAGCATAGAAAACTCATTAGCAACGGATTTAGATAATTCACGTAACATTACGTTTTCCACACATTCTGGACTTCTGATGTATTTACGACCGTAACATTCGTTCGTACATCTAAACAAAGACTATTTATAAAATAATCAGAAAACTGCGAACTCCCCATGAAACTACAACAATTTAGCCTCCACCAATAATTTTGAAAAAGAAAAAAAAACGCGAAGAAACTTAATTCTTTAATACTTCAAGTTTCAATATCACAAGTAATGGATTAACTCTAATGTCAACGACGAATGTCTTGCGATTACTAATCGAACTGAAGATTTCCCCAGTTCTTCTTCAACTGTTGCGCAGTGCACAGTGTTTCGCAGTTTTTATGAACATTGAAGCAACGATGAGGATCGAAAGATGAGATTGAGATAACATTTTTTTTATCCATTTTGAACTTTTCCGATAAGAGGAATAAAAGTGAAAAGTAATCAGTGCGATTATCATTACATCATTAAATATTTTGTTTCACTCATGATAAGAATAACATGATGATGCGATTATGACGTAAAATTGAAAACAAATTAAATTGTTCAATGAGTGAAATAAAAATAGGTAATCAGAGGTGAAGCGATAAAACAGGATAAGTCAACTCAACTCCAGGGTAAGTTTTCCATAGATATTGCTGAGGCTGAGGCATATAGCACAATTTCAGTTCTGATCTTTTTTTGTAGAAAAAAGATGAAAATTACAAAAAAGGTCCGAATAAAAATTTGGCTATTTTCTTCAAATTTTGGGTTATTTTTTTCCTTGTGAAATCTAAATCTAAACGAAAACTAAATTAAAAACGAGTTAAACATTGTGTTTAATAACATTAATAAACATTACAAACAATGTTTATTAATTAACATTAATAAGCACTGTGTTTATTGGCATTGGACCTCGCGTTCCCGCTTTGTTGGATTAAAGTTTTTTTTCCTTTGTTGAGTTGTTGTCATGATTTTCGGAAATATCGTTAAATGTAAAGGAGATAGGAAAAGTAGCATAAAGACCTTTTTTAAGCTCCTACTTTCCTCTACTCACACAAAAAAAAAGGTTTGAACAAGAACTTTCGTTATCTCCCTCTAATTCCGAAGTATTTTCCAAAATCAGTTAATTTTGAATGGAATCAAATTAAAAAATAGTCACAAAATTTGTCCCAGATTTTCATAAAAATCTCGGAATTCAAGGGTGATTCCGTAAAGAAAATGTCCATAAGAAAAAGTTCTAGCCCTGCTTCTTCTCTACAAGAGATCCTTGTGAAATTTCCGCTATCTCGCTGAAATTTCGAGATAGTCCCAAATAACAGATCCATTTTGAAGTAACATTTACTCATTATTCATTGCAATGCAGATGAATGGAATCCAGGCAGAGAAACGCCTGGGCTTTCTCTACTCACTATCAGCGATCCTCTCGACAATGTCCCTCGTATGCATCTTAATTGTCTGGCAACACTGGTCTCGGACCCTGAACGGATGCATCGGCATCGACGTTGATTGTGGTTGCATTTTGTACGGTGTTAACTCGTTTAGCACCTTTATGGGTGGTGACGTCAAGATCTGCCACTTTGGAGTGTACGGGCTCGTTCCGGCAATTTTTATGGGCGTTATTCTTGGATTCTACCATGGGTACAGATCGTGCTTCATGCGGAGTCTCGATGAGCCGAAGGTTTCGAGAGGAATTACTTATTACAACAACAGGTGATTTTTTTTTTGATTGAAAAGAGTATGACTTGTTTTGGGGGGAAATTAAAGAACAAAAATCGTCTCTGTACACGGAGACAAATATTCAATAAAAATGACGTATCTTTTCCGTAATTCCAGAGCGAAAGGTGGTTGTAGGAAATTTTATGGAACTATCACGGAGAATTTTTCCAGAGCATTCCGTCATTTTTATCTGAATCTCCTGTGAAAAATTACGATACGGTCACTTAAATTTTCTGAGTCGATTCCGTAATCGGTGAGTGAATTGTGAGTTCCGTAATTTTTACTGAACATTTCTCTCCGTGTAGAGGGTGAAATCCTCTACATAAAAAGATCCACCGGTGTTTTTCGATAAATCTATCGATTAGGCCTAGTTGCACCAACTCCTATCAACTTATTTTAACATCAGGGGGGAGTGGGGCAAAATGAAACAGTCAAAAAAACGACTGTTTGACGCAATTCAAGCAAAACAATTTTTTTTTAATATTTGTTTTTTGTCAACTTTTTTTTATTCTTGGGAGTACTGATGAGAATAATAATTTTCCATTCAGTAGACTGGAAAACTATTGAGAAGCTTTGATGGGTGGAGATTTTGTCAATGGATTATTCGACTGAAACTCAGCATCACATTTTCCTTTTTTCCCCTCTAGGTCTCTCCCTGGGTCTTGCTCTGGACTTTGGATTTTCCAGTTCATTTTCTTGTAAATTAATCGATTGACAAAATCTTCGCCCGTCAAAACTTGATGAGNCAATTTTTTTTTAATATTTGTTTTTTGTCAACTTTTTTTTATTCTTGGGAGTACTGATGAGAATAATAATTTTCCATTCAGTAGACTGGAAAACTATTGAGAAGCTTTGATGGGTGGAGATTTTGTCAATGGATTATTCGACTGAAACTCAGCATCACATTTTCCTTTTTTCCCCTCTAGGTCTCTCCCTGGGTCTTGCTCTGGACTTTGGATTTTCCAGTTCATTTTCTTGTAAATTAATCGATTGACAAAATCTTCGCCCGTCAAAACTTGATGAGAATAAAAAAAAGTTAATAAAAAATAATTAAAAGTTAATAAAAAAAAACTTTTTCCTTGAATTGCGTCAAACAGTCTTTTTTTTGGCTGTTTTATTTTGCCCCACTCTCCCCTATGTTTTGTATTATTGATTTTGTATGAGCTAACAGATCAGTAAATTTACTGGGTTTAGTGCAGCTGTACGAAAAATATTCGGGTATAGAAAACTTTTAGTCGAAAGCGAAACTTTACTCAATCAAAAAGTCACGGAAATTTTCTTGTCTCGCTTTAAACTTCCTTAAAAAATATCCTTTGACAATTTCTTCGAAAACTACTCATTTTCTCCATTTTCAAGTCCAAAACAAATGGATTTCATCATTTCACAAATATCTTGGAAAATAACACTTGTATTGAAAGACTCCAAGGACCAACAAGTCTTTTTACATTCACTGATGATAAACCTACTAGTTTCAGAGATATTTATGATATCATTCGTGAGTCGATTTTTTATATTTCTGGAATGAATGGAGGAATTACTTTCGTGGAAAAGTTAACCTTCCGAGTATGACTTTAATACCTTCATTCAATTGATTGATATGTTTTCGCAGGAGTGATAATGAAGGTAGCGTGGTTGTGGTAGCCCCGAAGGGTAGATCGCCATGTAAACAATGGATGCCGCCCACTTTCTTAGCTGCATTGATCTGTTGTCTGTCTCTGGCACATGCTGTCGTTGTTACTGACGGGTATTACAAGACTTGTGAGCAATACAAGAAACAGACAATTCAGATGATGGGATCCAGGGGAAGAGAAGCTGAGGTGAATAAAACTCATGAAATGGTCAACTTCCAGAATTACAAATTTTGAAAATTATGATTGATGGCGATGGCTGGTGTGTGGTTAGAGCGCGGAGTTGGCACCCGGACGACTCGGGTTCGATTCCCGGTGGAGGGGCCAAAATGATTTTTTAATGCTCTAATTTTTACAGATTATTGTCCGATCGGGAGTCTCGCAAGGGACGACTGTACCTAGTAAAGGTTTTTCTCTCAAGTGAAGTTTTTCCTTGGCCCTCGGCGAATGCGGTACAAGGGGTTGGGGGGTGGGAAAGGAACAAATCGCAAAAACCCGAGAGGGCATACGAAAGACCAAAAACAATGGAAAATTATGGAATTGATTCGAAAATGGCTGACTCTAAGAAAAAAATCCGGAAGCCCGTATTCGTTACTTCGTTCGAAAAAGCCGCTCGCGACTGTCGTGACGAAAAATATACTTTTTGACACTGCTGCTACGTTCACCTCGTGTTGAAAAGTGCCTTTCATTTGCTCGTAAACGAAAAGTAAAAAATCGTAAACGAAAAGTCTTTTCGTTTACTAGTAAATGAAAAGAGGCACAGTTCGCCACTCGCTGAACGTAACATCACTGTTAAAAACTATCGTTCGACGCTTGTGAGACGGGAATTTTCACGAGTGTGATTGGCAGCCCGCGGCTTCGCCTCGCGCCGCCAACTTTACACTCGTGAAAATTCCGTCTCACTCGTATTGAAATATACTATTTCATCACGCTGAGCGAAAAAGTAACTTTGTAGGCACGCTTCACGTCCCTTTCCCACACATTGTGATGAAAAATATTGTTAGATACTCGTGGAAAAAGTGTTTTTTGGCTCGTGGGAGGTTTATAGCACGAGCCGAAGGCGAGTGCTATAAACAAAAAACAAACAAAAATTTTAAGAGAATTAGAATTTAAAGAGAAACATTTCCGCTTCACCCAGCCGGGAAAAAAAAATTCTAAGAGAATTAGAATTTAGAGAGAAAAAATTTGCGTTTCACCCAGCCGGGAATCGAACCCGGGTCTCCCAGATACGCGCCGGACACTCTTATCGATTAAGCTACCAGGAACCACAGAAATTCACTCTCAAATCCAAAGAACGCGGCGGACGCCGCGCCCGTGCGCATGCCGCGCGCACCCGGCAAGCGCCCAAAAACTCCCGCCAGTTTCCCCGCCAAACCCAAAAAACAACTCAACCCAAAAAACTTCGTAACGAGTGCAGAAAAAACTCTTTTCCGCACTTGGTCGAAAATATTATTGTACAGCAGACGCACTGTTCGACAGAAAAGTGTCTCATGACATTTGCTAATGATCAACAATATAATCAATAATGGAAATGCTATTTAGCACGTATCTCCTGACGAAAGCCAATATTTTGAAAGATTTAATATGAGGAGCTAATGATTTTTAGTTTTTAGCCAAATTGGAAAACTTGATCATTAAGGGGGGATTAAAGAGATTACTATGAGTTTTAAAAGTTGTGGGATAGTGGAGTGAAGTTTCTCATGTATTGAAGATCGATTACATATATGTCTAAAAATGAATAATTAGTGGAAAAAAATTAATTGTTTATTGTTCATTTGCTCTGCAGACGCTTAAAATATTAAAAATAGTCGAGGGCCTCCAATTTTTGAGCTACAGAGGTTTCTTTTTTAGCGAAATCTTTGAAAAAATGTATGCAAGAATAATTACGCATTCGTTTTTTGACATTCGACTCCTATACAGCTAATTTCCTTTTGTTTAATGTATAATAATAAATTTTTGTAAAATAAGCAAAAAAATTATCCTTAAAATAATTTTTATGCCACTTATGCCTGAAACCGGCTGGATTACACACTCGACTCTTCGGGTCTCGTGTCTAATTCAGCCGGTTTCAGGCTTCGTGACATAAA